TCCGCCATCACTACCAGTCTATGATTGGTAGTCTCATCTACTTGATGATTGGTTCACGACCCGACATCGCCTGGGGAGTCACACGACTCTCACAATACATGCAAAACCCTACGTCACAGCACGTGGAGGCCGCGAAACACATCTTCCGGTATCTCCGTCATACCACCGAGTATCGTATCCGGTACTCAGGCTCAAATCAGTCTGGTTTGATAGGGTATTCAGACGCAGATTGGGGCGAAAATCGGGATAACCGGCGATCAACAACCGGTTTCGTTTTCTTGATGGCCGATGGAGCAGTCACATGGGCATCTCGGATGCAAAAGACGGTGGCAAGATCCTCGACGGAAGCCGAATACATGGCACTCTCAGAGGCATGCTCTGAGTTAGCCTGGCTAACGTCACTCCAAAAAGAGTTAGGTTACTTTCCTACTGCACCACCACCTTTGGTAGCAGACAACCAAGGAGGAATCTTTCTCGCAGTCAATCCCGCTCATGACCGAAGGCTCAAGCACGTCGACATTCGATATCACTTCATACGCGAATACGTAGAAGAAAAACGAGTGGATATAGTCTACGTTAGTACGGACGAAATGATCGCCGACACATTGACGAAACCACTCGGTGCAACAAAATTCGAGCGTTTCCGGTCTATGCTAGGCTTAGTCTTCAGTAGATTAGGCAATAACTAGTCGAGTGGGAGTGTCAGAACTTGGGCGATTACGTCATTGCCCTGTACGGACTAATGGGGATATCATCACATGATCCCTCTATTATCTTGTAGTAATACGACATCTGATTACTCATGCTTAGTATACATGCTTACGCTCGGAGTACCATAGGTCTTATAGCAGTATCAGAGGTCCTAACCCACATGTATATATACTGGCCCTGTAGCACAGAATAAAGCAAGAGTTCAGTCGCACTTTAACAATGGGTAGAGTGATACAATCTCCGGAACAGTATGCGAGGCCGACAATCCTGTCGAGTTCGTTGGTGCAATGGCGCGATATGAGGTCTTGAGTCAAGCTGGTACCTGAGCCGGGTGATGCACTGAGGATAATTTTGCTCAGCCGAGCAAAGAATGCGTGTCCGTCGACAAAAGAGGTGTCGGCTAGCCCACCAGGCAGCCACTCGGACACAGACTCCTGCAATGTCCAGACACGATTGAACCAATGGCGATCGGAAGCGACAACATCAGGAGCTGTGGCGAATGGGAGCCCGAGACCGTTGAAGTATGTGACGCAGCGTCTGCTGCTGGACGCGGCTTGGTAGATATAGCCAATAGTCGGTACATCGACCTTCCACTCCTCCAACCGCGCCGGCTCGTCCTCATTATGGCCCTTCTGCCGCAGACACAGAACATCTACCCAGACGTACTCTGCTCCCATGTTGAGCAGCTCAACACGAACATGCTCGAGAGTTGTCGCGCGTGGGGTAGGTGCTGGCCACTGGTTGCCGTTGATGTTCGTCCATACGTCAACGCGATCTTCGTCGGCAACCCAGCTGTGTGATATTGTCCATAAATCTTCACTTAAAAATTCGTAGTTCTGGGAGTCATAAGCCGAAAGAACATGATAGGGGAGTATTCGGTTGCTGAGCAGATCCCATGGCCGTAGACCTCCCCGAAGTCACGTGACTCCCGGATCGCATACTCGAGAAATTCTCGCATGCCTTCCATCTCGAGCGTGTAAGCTGTGCCCATTACGACGTTGAGGTTGCGAAGAGTGTACGGGACATTTGCCAGTGACATGTCTGCAAGTGCATCCGGGATTGCGCCTGGGCTGATGTGGATCCACTGGAGGGGTACAGGAGAGCGAGGGGTTGGTCTGAGCATGTAGCACTCGCCATCCCGGAAGGATTTGAACAGATTTTCTTCTGGAATTTCCCCGGACAGAGCAAGCTGACAAAGCCCCCATATATCCATACGGTGTTCTATGGTCCTGACCAGCAGATGTCTACGGCGTCGTTCGGCATTGTCCCTTATGATCGTGAATATCGCGTCTCGGTCGAAGACATCATCCCAAGGCGGTCTCCTGCAGAGGAAAGTCTCCTCCAACTCCTTTAGCCTGAAGCAAAGCATGCCCTTCGGTTGGCCCGTTAGCATGCTCAGAGTCCGTTATCAGAATGGACTCCTGAAACTAACCGAAAGGTTGCCTCGAGCCTTGCCAGGATCCACCGGAGGGTCGGCTGACCCTCTACCATCCGTGTGTGCGATCTCCTTAGTAGAGGTTGTCCCAACTTGATTCATAGATATGCCACTCGAAGGTCTTCCGTCAGATAGATGGTCTTCAAAGACCCCAGTGGAGATGGGGCCAGGTGCAGCCTCGATGGCAGCTTCGTCGTGGTTCGCACGCAAGTGCATATTTATAACCTGCAGCACATTACATCGAAGATACTTAGCTTGACACGTTCTGGTGCCGTCAACGTGTTTACTTACCGACTGCTCGCTACTCAATAAAACTTCCTGCTGCTGCTCTGAAGTGGCTGCTTCGTATTCCCGTCGGATCCGCTTCTGAGAGATGGCGTCAAGTTTCCTTCAATGCCAACAGGTTCTAAGGCGACGCACCGGGGGAGGACTATCGCGAATGAATTGCATAGGGGAACGGGGCTCGTTTGCACGAGTAGCGCCCTGGCAATTTCGGCGTCGTCGGGAGTTCAGCGCAGAAAAATGATAAACGCACAGAGCCTGTGATGTCCTGCCGATCCTGTCTGCCGTGGTCAGAAGGCTCGTTGTCTTCTTTCATCCGCTTCCGACGTTCTGTAGACGGCCAAAGATATAGGGTCGTTAGAGATAGGGCTAAGACAGAAGGGAAGGACCCACGGTGTCTATCATCGGCGGCGTCCAGCGTTCGCAAGCTTGATGACATGGGAAAAAGCTGCGTTCGCCGGTTCAATAATGTGTGTAAATCGGGTTAACTAGATAGTAGGATAAAGCGCAGCGTATGTCGTGGTGGTCAGCGAAGATGAGAGTCATCGACAGGCACAGAGACGCGTGCAGCGAGGGAAGATGTTTCGTGATGTGCACATGCTATATAAACCTTAAGCACTAAACACCGGCGGGCGCCGATTCACGACATCAGTCGCTCTGTCCTCAGCTAGAGGTCACTCACGAATCTTCGCTAAGCCGGGGCCAGACAAATAATAATAATATTTTTCTGGCCCCGGCTTAATAATAATATTGTCTGTCTGTCTGTCTGTCTGCCTGCCTGTCTGCCTGTCTGTCTGTCTGTCTGTCTGTCTGTCTGTCTGTCTGTCTGTCTGTCTGTCTGGGGGCGATAGAACCAAGGCGGTGCGGAAAGGCATTTCTCATTGACGCCTAGGTGCCTGGGCTTCTGTATATGCAAAGCTCGGTCCTAAGACAGATAATGCAGCATCCCAGTAGCAGCATCATCATGTTCGCCCCTGGCTCAAGTGTTAACGTCGATGCAGATCGAGCAGAGCGGGCGATAACTCACCCTCCATCCCGTTGTAGCCCGGTCATCGACAGCGTTACACCTCAAAGGGCGACAATCAGGTGTCTGCTTTGATTCTGAAGAAGAAAAAAACTGACAATATTGAGGATGCTTGTCGCTGTTTATTGATTTGTGGCAGGGTCATAGTTTTGGTCGCGTGCCTAATTGGTGTCTAGGTACATTGAAGCTCAGCTCGGCACGGCACTGACTGTATCACGGGGGCGTACCATCTCCTAGTATACAAACTAGGCATGAAGCATATAACAGCTGCGATCAATTGGTATGAGAGATGAATGACTCGGAGGAAGTCGAGCCTGGAGTCACCTATCGAAACAGCCAAACAGTTGCAGGTCGCTTAAAGGCTCTGACGGTAGGGATCCATTGACGTGAGCGATGGCACAAGCGCGAGCAGATATTTATTGCATAACAAAGCAATGAGTATTTCCGGAAACTTCGGCATCTGCATTGCCTAGCAGGCGAACGGGCAAAGATAATATTTCGATTTCGAGGCAGAAGAGGAGAACGGCAAAATCGGTACCCAGGTGTCCTTCCGCATCAAATCAATTACCATTTTTAGTATTTACTTGATATCTACGGGTCTCATCAGCTAGGCGAAACCCGGCTGTATATCTACCTCTCAATCCTCTCAATGAAAAGACTTTTCACTTTGATGCAAAGCCTGTACATCACTTCAAGAACATCAGTAGGTGGCATCGAGTTAGGTGTGTCTCGACAGACGGACAGCGTTGCGGCAAGTAGTAAGAAAGTGGACAAAGATCTTGGTCGCTGTGTCGAACGAATGGATGCCTTCCAGCGAATACACAGTATGTTCGAACATCCGTCCTCTATCCGCGGCTCATTGCGTTTCCCTCAGTCGCGGATTTCAAACCGCCGCCTCGTTGCGCCGAGGTGTATGAGCACGTCCAGGGGATGATACATAATTTCCAAAGTGGAGGTCGTCGGCTGTACAACGCGGAAAAGGTGAGTATGCGGATGAAAGGAGTGTATACAGCAGCACGGTGGAAACGGCCGCCGCGGATGCAAACATCTCGTGCGGACTGGGCAGATCTAGTGGCCTACAACGAGCACATCAGCGATGTTGAAGGCGCCGCCTTGTCGCTTCGACTCATTCCACAAGCCAGTACGTTTCCATTCTGGTGCATATATGCGTCGTACTGACGACCATCTGCCTTATAGATGGCTCGAAATTCTACCTCCGTCGGCTGCCTCAACCCTCGCGCCGAGTTCGACGACCCGCGCACTCCGCTCCGTCCTCTCCCACTTCAGCAGACCTCCGAGCCCGCATTGGGGACATCTTTGGTGACGGCGTGCAACGCGACTCAACAGCTGCCCGTCACCAATGCCACTTCCTTGCCCTTGTCCGGCGTCTTTGGTGTTCACGGCGTGCAGGACCTTGTGACGCAGAAATATGGTGTCGGAGCATACGTGTACCCTTCGCTGATGACATCGTGAGACGGCCCGTGCCCTATGACACTGGGTGGTAAGCGCGCTTTTTTTCCGGCGTAAAATTGGCCAAGAGCTGATTGAACAAGGCTCCAACTTTCTCCGGTTTTCACCTGAAAAAAACCGAAGGCAAAACTCAGTTTTCCGCCAGTTTTACTGTGTTTTACACCATTTTGGCTGGTTTTGCACCAGTTTCTTCTCAGTTTGCATCAGCGTAGAATTGAGGAATAACTGGGCCTTGTTTAGCCGCTTTTGCCTGAGTTTTCCCAAGAAAAAAACTGCGCTTACCACCCTGTGTGATGCAGAAGATGAGCAGCTGGGGCCCCGGCGGCTGCTTATTTAGGCGAGAAGTGCGGAATGGAACACATGCCAGAGGAAGCTGAGACCACGCGTAGAAAGATAATCGCATCACGTAAATATTACGTGCATCGTGCAACCATCTAAGGACACACTTGAGTTGCATGCGGGGCCTTGCTGGTCATTGTAGGAGCCCACACGAAATTTATTGAACCGACGGCCAATGAGCGTAGGCAGATAGGCAGCCTCGGACCATCTCCCACGCACAAAATGCTGGAAAGCTGTGACGCGTGAGATAAAATCCCGCTCACGAGGCCAGCCCGACCAAGGCTGCATGCAGAGGAATGCTGGGTAGCCTGTCAGCCGCGACGGTTTTCAAATCACATGGGGGACGAACCACCAGGGGACCCTGCGCATGTACTCCTCCCACGCGCTGGTACGTCGCGGGGACGAAGTTCACGACGGCGAGGGATTCGCGCAGAGCAGGGGGAAGAGACGCGACGTGGTGTCGGGCTGGGCGTGATGCAACAGTAGGATGACGATGGCATGGCAGGTCGTGACGATGATGAAGAACGCCTGTGTCTCGATGTCAGATGCGGGTGGATGTTCGTGGAGAAGACAAAACGCACCTTCAGAAAGAACGCTTGTGGTTGTGCGATGTACTCCAAGAGTTGTCCGCGATACCTGACTCTGTCGCGGCACTTGGTAGGCGGCGTTGGAGATGTTGCGCCGAGGTAGAAGGCGAAACCTGTCAAGAGCAGTAGGACGGAGTTGAAAACGGGATACAAGGGAGCAACTCCGCTTACTTCGCAGGCCACCTTTGAGAGGGAACGACCCATGCATATACACCCCCACAACGGCGCAAACATCGTGAGTCGAGTCTGTATACGCCTCGGATTTAGTTTCGCTCCGTCTCTTCTGGAAGGTGTTGCAAACACTACGTCGTATGAGATCAGCATTGCTGTAAGAAAAGGGGTACCTTGCTATCAGTTGAGCAGTAGAGCACCTTCTGGCCCATGCCTCAGCTTGTCCGCCACTAGCGGCCTTATTATGAGCCAGGTAAAACCTACACTGTCTTCAGAGCCATCATCCTCATCACCTTCATCTTTAACCTTGCCATATCGGTCCTCGGCGTCCTCTCCATCCTTTGCTTGGGCACTACAACGTTACCGCCGCAGGAGGAGTGCGCCGATCGACTCCGTGAATGCGGTGTCCGTAGCAAAGCGCAGTGGCGCGAGAGAGCTCAGAGGAGCAGCAACAACGGCGGCAGTCTACGACAGTGGCAATGCCGTTATCTTGGCATCAGCTCCTGTGGTCGCTCAGATGGACAAGCTAGTGTATGCATGCACTAGCACTCTTATGTGCAGTACTTGCTAGCGAAGTAGTGTGTACACAGTAGACGCCGGACCGATCAAGCACCGTGCCGGTGGCCATCAGCGGGGCCCCCGCATGTTCTCACGCCCTCCGACGTGCTTTCGGGCTCCAGTTCACGTCGGAGCGTCTGTTCAGGGCCGCTGTCCGCTGCCGCGCGCGACGACCGACGCCCCGCCCTGCTGCCAGGGTCCCGCGCGCGATCGGGTGTCTCGAGACACCCGATTAGGCGCCCCCACTGTCCGTCCGGCGTCCGTCCGGTACCGTACCCCGTCAATGAGAAGCACTGCAGTTAGCCACGTGCTGATACGGTCACTCACAGCCATCGGCCATGAGGCACAACAACTGTGCTGTCCTAAACCACCCGCGGCTCCATTGCGGCCGACTTGCTAAATCTTCTCGATCTGGTGGGTTGCATTCGCATTTTCTGTACGCAGCCGCCTGAAAAAATATGCCGACTTAGATTTTGTGTCCCCTCCCGCCGACTACTTCGGATATCTATCCCTTCAAAGCGCACCTGTCAAAACATGGAGTGGACTCGGAGTTAAAGCGCTCCCTGCGGCGTGTATTTGTGCGGCTTTGCGAAACGTCCCGCCAGCTCCCGCATAGACTATCGCTGTCGAACGTGCAATTAACGCATCGCCAGCCCGTCGACGGCGGGGCGTACGGAGATATTTACAAGGGCGAGCACAGAGGAGACGTCATAGCCCTGAAGGCAGGTCGCTTCTTTCGTCATGGAGAGGATGACTCGAAGGTGCGCGAGATCTTGAGAGATTGACAGGGTACATCGCTGATCATGTCTTTCAGATATTCTACAGAGAGGCCGCGCTTATCCGTGGCATAAATCACAAACATATCTGTCCGATAATTGGTATCTATAAGCCTGGAGAATCCCTCACCGGCCCCATTTTCTTGGTGCTCCCTTGGATGAGCTACGGCAATGTCCTGCAATACATAGAGAAATCTGGTGAAGAGGACGCTATTCGATTGGCGAGTCTATTATCTGGAATATGCGGATGAACGCTGCTCAACTTTGGTAGATATACGAAGTAGCATCAGGACTGGAATACCTGCACAAGAAACACGTGGTTCATGGAGACCTACATGCTGTGCGTCTGACTACTCGGCATGCTAACTAATACCGTCTGAGCAATATGATACCCAGGGAAATATCCTCATCGATGCAGCCGGGGCTGTTCGTCTGGCAGATTTCGGGCTCGCCAACTTCTCAGACGCCGGAATGAGCTGCAGCTCAGCGCGGGCCGGTGCGACGCGCTATATGGCTCCCGAGATACTTGACCCGGACCGTACTCTGCTCTCACCCATCCATCATACGCCTGCCAGCGACATGTATTCGTTTGGCCAGGTGTCATGGCATGTGAGTCTATAGTAGTGGGTTACGCTATCTGCGGCCCGCCTTGACGAACCCTGTCACCAGATTTATACCGGGAAGATACCCTTCCACAACCTGAACAACTATCAGGCAATGTCTGCCATCATTAACGGCAAGAGTCAGGAACGTTCGCTATCTGATAAGCATATCCCCGACGCATTGTGGCATATTATGCAATTGTGTTGGTGCTTTGAGCCGCACCGACGTACCGATGCCCTGACAGTCCGCTCTCAGCTCGAGGCCGTCGGTGCTGCTGGTCACTCCGACTCACTCCAGCCTCCTAATTCCGGCGTCGACACACCTGCCAACTCCCCGCGGTCTTCTGAACTAGCGCTCACTCCCTCTGATGCTAATGTATTCAACGCGGAGTCACCATCTCCGTCTGCTGACGAAAGTTCCAACAGACATCAAGACGGCAGCGAAATCCTCGTATCTGTTGACGCTATCCTCTCCGATAGTGGTCTTCTACCGACCATACTCGACGCCTTTCGACAGCAAGATCCGCACACGCCAGACGATGTCATTGATTTTGTGCTAAAATTAATCTCTCATCGTGTCGCAGCCACAGCTGAGGACGTCGTTAACACATACGGTCACCTGCCCCTGGATCTGTTATCCAACCAAGACTGGACTGAGCTATCGTCTCTTGTCGTCAACACCATCAAAGCCCATCATCTCGACGTCCCTCCGCCCACTGAAGCTCCGACTTGGCTTGTCAAAGCGCTCGCGCTCGTCTTGTCTCCAAGCGGCCACGAGCTCACTCCGCGTCGTCACGTCACTGTTTACCGGTGCTTCCTAGAGGAACAAGATCCAAATCATGCCATACTACAGAACGTGATTTCGCCCGCGGTCACCAGATCAGGTGCCGACATCACGACCACCATGAGGCTCATTTTCGCCCTTATCGATCTCGCCCTTCGAGACCGTGACCGTGCCATTCCAGCTGCTCACGAGCCCAAACTCCTAGACCTCGACGTTCTGCAGGACCGAACAACCTATCAGCCTCTGTCGAACATCATGGGGGCAGCGATGAATGCGTTAAAGCAGCACGATAAAATACGGACTGCCCGCCGTGCGCGGGAGCTCACTTCCATCGACAACCAGCCCTACAGCTCCGCTCCTACGACCGAGGATGTCTCCATTGCAAATTCCATCCTTCTCCTATTCTCCGGATCGTCTCGAGCTGTGCCACAGGACGTGAGGGATTTCATGTACGGCTATGAAATCAGCAGCCGACCTCTCTCTGTGATCTTGGACGCTCTATCTACTGCCATGCTCGCTCCCAACAACACCGAGAATGGACCAGCAGCACCCTCCGCGGCATTTGGGCACCCTTCGTACAGAGTACGCGCAGTGCTCCGCTTCCTCTCGTTGTACTTCAAGCCGGGCGGCCTGAGCCTACCCCTCGAATCCATGCCAAATCTTCAGCATATCACATACGGTGTAAGCCAGAAGCTGCTCCAAGAGGTCGCAAAGGCGGTTACAGCTGGGCCTATCGACGACGATACCTCGAGCTGGTCGCATGATGCGGCGATGCTCCTAGCTTCAGCTCCGCAGAGCACCATGAGCAACGACGTGCAGAAAGCGCTTCTATCCTGTGCATCTAACACAGCCGTTATGCGCAAATTGCTTCATGCCATGGCCAATTCCACCATGCAGAAAGTGTCGTACGATAGCCTTGACCTGGTCTCCATTATCCGCGCCGCCACACAGTTCCTCACCAAGGTCGGACTCTACAGCCAGAAACCGCGTATATCCCCCGTCCTAGATCTCCACACACTCCCTGCAGAGGCCTTCACCGAGCTCACAAGAAAGGTGGCGCAGGGTCTAGCACCACTCGCCGTACAGCGGCCTAAGCAGGGTTCGTGGGCCTGCTATGCCCTCACCATCCTGCTCGCGCGGTCGGACCAGAATCTACCCGAGCTTGCTTTGGATGTGCTCCAGCGATATGCCCTCAGCCTACCCGAGCTGAAGCTTCTGCTTGACACGCTCAGCCCCTTCCCCGGCGACCAGGATCTCTTCACGGTGTTCTTGGGACCATTCGACGAGACCTCACTGGACTACGAGCAACTCGCCAGCGATACCACACAAGCATTGAACAATCTGCTCTGGGTCATCACCAGGTTTTCTCGGGTTCTACCCGTCCGTGATCCAGGCGAACGGTCCTCTCAATCGATGGACCAACTAAATGCTACATGGGGTACCCTCATGAATAAGGCCGGCGAAATACTCGCGGTCGCGCTGGCTGGCACGAGGTGGTACCCGGCCGCCGATTATTCGTCTCCAACCCCGCTAAATAGGCTAATGTCCTTCAAGAAACAAGCGGCGGTGCTGCTGCTCACGCCGTCGCAGCTAGATCTTCCTCCTACTGTAACCCGCACCCTCCAAAGCTGGTTGTCGCAGTCGTCCTTTGCTCTCAAAGCCACATTAGAGTCGCTTCTCAGCGACAGCGTCGCACCGGCCGATGCGCTCTGGTCCGTCGTGGCCGCGCTGCGTTACCTGATCGGCGACAGCGGGAAGGCTATTCCGCGTGAGGCATTCACTACCGTCCTGCAGTTCCCGGATTCACTCCCGGACGATCAATGGACGACGATAACGGACATCGTCGCGAAGATCATCCGCGGGAAAATCACAAACTACACTAGCTCGAAGCCGACCCTTCCCGAATGGCTCGTGGACGCAGTCATACTGCTCCTGTCTACGCATGAGATTTCGCATGACGCAGCTGGATGTCTCGAGCTTCTCTTCGGCCATACACCCAGCATAGTTCACACTGTCTGGGAACGCACATCCGCGAGCGCGTTCATACCACTTTCGAAACGCCTCGCGTCTATATGTACGAACGGTCTCACTCCGAAGGCGTGTCTCGACCTGTATGCCTGCTATCTGGCCCCAGAGGACAAACTCAACTCTCAGTCCGATCCCAGCTCCCGGTCAGTTTCCAGCTCCCAGCCAGATCCCAGCACTCAGCCAGATCCCGCAAAAACCGCTGTACGCAGATCTTTAACAGAAATTCTGCGAATGCAAAATCCGCTCAAGCCGGAGGTCCTCAAGGATCTCTGGGAATTCCTGGAGAAGTGTGTCCCGCAGCTGAACATTCCCTCCCCACAGTGGCGCAACGTGTCTGTCGAGGTCATTGGCGTGCTCATGCTGCTTTCGCGCCGCGTGTTCGAGATAAACGTGAGCGGGGCGCTTCTGAAGCTGTTCAAATCTATGTGGGCCAACGAAGGCTCGTTCGACATCTTCTGGCTCCTCGCGACGTTACATCCCAAGGATCGGCTGCAGGACCCGGGAATCCTTGGCACATGTCGCAACCTGCTCCGCACTGCTAGTGCCACTGGTGCGTACTGCTTGGCCCCGATAAGCGAATATTGTATACACTAACCACCATAACTGCAGATCTGAAGGAGTGCTTGGGGCAGTCTCGCGCAAGGCTTTCCGTTCTCATTGATAAAATGGACGACACCGAATTTCAAGATAATTTCGGCGCGCTAGATGCGCTGCGGCTTTGCGAGCTTTACGCTGATGTCCATCAGGTGGTACCAGGGGAGCGCCTGACTCAGGACGTGAAGTCCCTGTGGCGCGACATCTGGGATAAGCTTGCGAAGCTGGTACAAACCTATTATGCCGAACAGGGCTGGACGAGGCCGCCACGGAGGATGCTTGCCGATGCTGGGGAGGGTTGGACTATATCGAACCCTAGCCAGGATACGTCGCAGACATCTCCCGAAACCTTGTACTCTGAGGACCAAGAGTTGGCGAGGTCGTGCCTTGGGATGATGCAGTCCGACACGGAAGCACCCGGCGACCTGATCCTTGCACTAGAGTGTTTCGTTCCGCCCATCAGATCTTTGGTGGACTTCTTTTAAAGTTTTATATATCAGTAGCGGCCTTCCGGGTGTCGTACCGGAGAAGATTCGGATAGGTGAGCTGGACAGGTTCGCCTTCAGGGAAAACTTGTTGAGCAGCCGCCGTCTTGCGGTGCATCGAGATCGCATTGGATGTCTCGACTGGCGCCTTCGCTATCGAGTAGTGCTGCCAGATACATCCCCACCACTCTGATTTTGTATTTCCCGCTGCGAGGAGCACACCAGGCCCAGCTTTCGGCATGCACAATGATCATTACGTGTGTGACTCTCATCGCGCAGAAAAAGAGTCAAAGTAGATATACAAAAAACTTTTCTAGCCTGATGTACAATCCAGCCGTATTCCGAAGTGACCGTTATAGCCGTCGCGACCGTGGTTATGGCTTAAGCACCGGGAGGCGGGGGGCTAGAGAGGGAACATGTCAGCAAGAACACTCAATCCGTTCCAAATGTCTACGTACATGCGAGCGACCGAAGTCGTGGGGCCAGGGAGAGTCGTGAGGCTCGGGAAGGGGGTGGACGCGCACTAGAAGAGGGGCAGTCAGCTTCCGTCACGCTCGTGCGTGGCAAATCGGAGGACGCACAGCCTGCTCGACGTCGGCGCTGGTCTTGCCGGCGGGGAAGAACGAGAACGGGCCGTTGCCGGGGATGGGCTTGGAGATCGGAATGACGGCCGAGCAGTCGGTCATCGCGTCCGGGTTCTGGCCGAGCTGTGTGAGCGCGAGGAAGATGAACTGGAAGTCGCTCGTCAGCTTCGACTGGTTGTCTGTGGCCCGTTGTCAGTATTTTCTGTAGCACCTATATCTAGTTCGGGGCGATACATACTGACAAAGGACTGCCACTCGCAGGCCGTGCGCGAGTCGCGCGCGAGGGTATGGTCGGACTGAAGACGGATTTCACCCGCGAGTCCAGACTCGACCTCGCCTTGGTTGCCCCCAGAGCCGGGGAAGAGCACACCGCGTAGCTGGGTCTCGACGAAGAACTGGGAGTCAAAGACGCCGGGAGTGGAGTCGAACGGCAGGCCTTGGACAGTCGGGTCGACGTCGTTGGAGGCCGCGACAGAGTGGCTGAGATCGCATGGTCAGAGCGGGAGTGGTGGAAAACGCGCAAAGCACTCACGCCGAGAGCATCCAGACAAGCTCGAGCTCATCGAACTGGCCGGCATCGTTGACACGGTCAATGATCTGGTCGACAGTGTCTGTGTGTTGATCAGCTTCATTCCGAATCTTTTCAATGCTTTGGTGACGTACGGAACGGCTCGGGAACGAGACCATCGGGCGCGGCTTGGGTAGCTGCAGAACGCAGATAAATAATCAAAATTATTTGCCGATTGAAAAACGTCGGCGTACCAGGAGCGCGACCAGTGAAGAAGTTCATCTGCGGGGCACCGGGGCAGTTGCTCATGGCGACTGCACCGGCGAAGGCAATAAAATCGCCGGGGGTGACACCGTGTTTAGCGATGAATGGCTTCTGAAGATTGACGACTTCGTCGAGACCGATGTTCGGGTGGAATGCGGTCTCAATCTCATCGAAGAGAATGATGGAGCCGTCGGCACCTCCACCACTATAAATTTCTCAGTGACACTTTTGAGAGACATGCAATGCACAGGGAACATACCCAAACTTCCCCTGTGCCTCCATTGCAGGAGAGATGGCGATGGAGTCGTGGAAGACGCTGCAGATTTAAATTAGTCTCATGTGCAGAACGCTTGGTCCGCAGAAGCACTCACAGTCGGATGGACTCGTGGGCTTCAGCGCCGCATTGGCCTCCGTTGAAGAGGTTCTGCTGGATGTCGTCGAGGACGTCGAACCATGCGCAGCACGATTCGTCGCCGACGCTGGCACCGTTTGAGCAGGTGGCGCGCTTGTCCTTCAGCACGACAGCTGCACACGGTGTTCGGTATCATTGGCACAAGCGTGAATATGCTCGGGGACACAGAAACGTACCTTGAGTGACCTGGAGAGAGAGCGCGATGGAAATTGCGACGATGAGCTGCTTGAAGGCCATGACCGCTGGAATGAGGCTGTAGAAGAGACTGCGAGTGTCTTGGAGAGAGTATCGCGAGTTGCGTCCCCCTTTTATACAACGTTCCGCGTCACAAATTATCTTGGCTAGACGTCTGCCCAACGCATAATGTACCAGCAAGCAGGTACGATGCCAATAGCCGACGAATGAAAGCCTCACATAAGCTTAGCCTGTGAGCAAAAATTGAGCGGGACCGGCGGAACAAACAGCTGTTCTCCAAATGCAGCCTTAACCGTCGGGGCACAAGAACTGTACCAAGGACGCGAATGAACAAGGAAGCAAGGCCCACGGAAGAAATCGCGTGACAGCTGAGGGAGCGGTTCCGAGCTAAAGGGCGTAGTCTTGGCATTTCGGCGGCTCTTGGAAAAAGGTAATACTGTAGACGCGGGGCTGCCCAGCCCATCCTCGGAGATCGTTGCGGACCGGAACGTTCGTTCCTGGCACGAGCTGAAGTCACTCAGTAATAGTCCCAGACTTGAGCTTAGACATACAGTTCCATATCACATACCGCTGTGAAAAGCCCAAAGATTCGGTCCCGTCCAGTGAAGGAGCATTTACCACAGGCTAGGATCAGAGGCAAACATCCACACATGCAGGCGGCCAGAAAAGCACGTCTCAAACAGCGTTTATTTGTGTACCATAGCAACACACAAGCGTAAGCGGGATGCCAGAATGATGCTACGCACGCATTTACCTTCTAGCGCGGTCGATACCATGCTCCGCGAACGCGAAAGAGGCCGTCAAAGTCCCGATGCATCCTAAAGAGGCAAGTCTCCATAGTCGCGCGAGACGAATTCTGCATAGGCACGCTCCGCGATCTTCGCATGCTGATCTAGACTCAGCCGGACGAGTTGCGAGAATACTAGCGACATGGTGTGGTAAGACCGGCACATGTGTGCACTTGCCTGGTGTACCGCTGCCCTCGCTCAACGCGGAGTTCTCGTACCCGAGCTCGGACCGAGCGGATTGTGCTCACGCAATCCCAGAATTGCCACCATGGTATATATAGATGAGAGTATGTTCTACATCACGGACGGTGATTCGCTGTGCTGTGTCGTTTCGTGTGAGTGCGACTGGGTGGCATGGGACATTGCGGCTTGCTTTGATGATGGTCTCTTTCCGGGTGAACTAGGCATAACACAAAATGAGTTGCCGAGTCAATTTTGAAACCCTTAGTCCTGTTTCAATACCCCATGGTATTGGGTCAACGGCAGCGTAAGCAAATCGCAGGACAGGGATTACTTGCATACCTGGGAGAGCGACTCTCGGTGGCCCACGGACGTGGCCGAACCGTCAGAAATCGGCCATACCCCGGCAATGTGTGTGCCTAAACTCGTAACAAAACGCATACCCAACCCCTCAGCCATCTCCGCGACCGAGCATTGAAGTGTCGTCGGCTCTTCGTGCAAATGACGCGCGTATCTGTAAAATGGCCGCCGACTCAGGGTGGGAGCGAACAAAAAGGACCAACAAGTTAGTTTTAACTCCGAGATCTTAACCGTTAAGTCAGGCAAACAATACGCACGATCACACTATATGGCGACTGGAGACGGTCGAGCGACGAAGAGCGATGAAAACTACGGTCAGTCGCAGCTTACATAACCATTAACACTGGGCTGTAAGAGTTGTGACTAATGTACTTTATTTAACAAAACTTTCTTAGCACATTGATGCCCAGAGTCGATGACTGGGGGTGCATGAGCCCGAGGGTGGTGTCTTACGAATCGTCTACTACGACGTCTAGGCTCTGGATTCTAAACTCTAGAGTGTCAAACAAAACAAAAGACAAAATAAAAATCCTCCGATACGGGGAATCGAACCCCGAGCTATCGCGTGAAAGGCGATAATGTTAGCCGTTACACCATATCGGATCGATGAAAGTTGACTCCTTATATTACTTATACATATGAGCTATACGAGTAGAACGCGTCACTGGAAGGCTAGGACGCGTACACTCTTTTCCAAATCCACGACCAATTTTACTACATTTCCTCTACATACCCTCCTTGCTGTACAGTTACGCGAGGATGTCCGATAGCGGTAGCGGCCGTAGCACCCCTTCAGGCTGGAAGCGTCCAGCGAATACTGGCCCGAGGATAGGTCGACTTGGCGATGCGGCGGGTGCTGCACCATCCTCATCTTCCAGGTGTGTATTTCGGATAATTGTACATAGCCAGAGAGCTAATCATGTGTGTCGTGATTGTAGTGGCGGCCGCCGTATTGCATCCCTGCATGATGTCGGCTCTGGTGGTGGCGGTCCTTCGCTCGGCGGCCCTGGCGGAGCGAGGCCCGATGATGACGATGACGACGATGACGAGGACCAGGACCCTCAGACGTTCTTTGCTGGCGGTGGAGATCGCAGGTGCGTGCTTTACTATAACCTTGAGCTCATTACTCAATTGTGAGCAGTGGCATTTCAATCCAAGGACCGCCGGGGCGAGGCCCTGTCCCCGGAGGTGATGTCGTAAGGGATTTGTTGAGACGGGCTGCAGAGTGAGTGACCCCAATTTGGCTGACAGTATCAGGTCGCGAACTGATTTTTAACTCAGAGCCGGTCCCCCTCCTGTACCTTCAACGGGTCCCGCGCGCTCAATGTTCTCCGGAGGAGGACATGTTCTCGGTGGCGAAGACGTAGAGAGCAGATACGTCCCTGATCCCCTCGCTGGGCGTACGTGCATTATCTGCCCTATTGTCACGGCAATCGACTGACCACTTTCTTCTGGCCCTTCGCTTCTTTTCGATGTCAATCTCGCTGTGAAATGCCATCAATGACCCACGTATATATCGACCTCGTACCTTTGAACGCATGAAATACCGCTTTTCTTGCGATAACGTGCTCTCCCCCCTCTTGCGTCTCGTATGCGCAAAATAACAATTTAAAGCGCAAGATGACGATGCCCCGACCGCCATACGTCGAATAACTTTCTGGCGGGACGGTTTTAGCGTGGACCACGAGGATACGACTGGCGAGCTGAAACGCTACGACGATCCCGCGAACGCACAAATCCTTCGCGAAATCAACGAAGGCCGCGCACCACCATCAATTCTGAACATCCTACCTGGGCAGCCCGTCGAGCTTCGTATCGCAAAGCGCACCCACGAAGATTACGTCGCGCCTGCCTCTTCTGCGGGACCAGCGCGTGTGTTTGCCGGTGCGGGGCAACGCCTCGGCTCGCCCGTGCCTGGACAGGCGAGTTCGTCATCGGCGAGCGCGGCAAGCATGCCCGGCGGGTTCCCGACCACTGCAGGTGCAGGTGCATCTCAGGTCCCTGCGGGTACACAGAAGGAGAGCATAGCGACGCGCTTTGAGGTCGACAACACTCTGCCAATGACGCGCGTACAGGTCCGCCTCGTAGACGGGTCACGCCTCACTGCGCGTATGAATCTGACACATCGCGTACGTGACCTGCGTGGCTTTGTCGATGCGTAAGTGCCTCCTATGTCTCTAGTGAAATAAGAAAGCTGATCTCTGCGATCGTCATAGGTCGTCGCTTGAAGCTGCTAGCCGGCCGTACACGCTTAACACCGCGCAACCCGCGATGAAGCTGCTCGCAGATGAAGAACTGACGATTGAGCAGGCAGGGCTTGTGAACAGTGTTGTTGTCCAGCGCTGGGTCTGAATAAATTTGGCCAAAGTATCGTAAGAGAGATGAAGAACCGGTTTGTTTCTTACTGTACGATAGACTCATGTGCGTCAATGTGTTGTTGAATGCATGCTGTTGTAAGAGTGAAATTACAGCACTCACATGAGGGGAGGTTTCAATGTCGCACGCACAGAGGCGTCTGCCGCACAATGCGCGCCTTTTTCGGAAGAGGAAAATTACGTAATATATCAAGGCGGAGCACGGGATTTCTAGCAGACCTCACACCACTCCTGTGTTCACCTTCTTTGCCTGAGTCTGTCGGATTTTCCTCTCAAAGCGAGTACGTGAGGCTCGCCTGCTGGCTGGCTTTGCTGGGCAGCCCACTCACATGCACAACTTCATGACAAAAAAAAACGCGAGCATGAAAATCATCCGTGATTGCGGACACTCCACGCAGCGTTTGCAATGAGATGTGGAAAAACTGTAGAGGTCTACAGTCTACAGAACACTGCGTAGCCAAGGATCCGGCGAAAGCGGCCGTCCTTGCAGCCCGGCACGTCATCCTTGCTACGTAGAGCGACCTGCTGGACGTTTAGCAGTGTAAACACGGGTAAGACCGGGGCCTATGTCTCTAGTTAGGCCATCTCACTGATATCGTGATATATAGGATTAGTGCAACGCGCCATTCCCAAATACAGCTCTCTTGACTGGCTACCTACTGAGCGGCTGCTCTGATGGTCGCCGCGCTCGGCACAGCCAGTAAACTTGGGCCATCCCATGCCAGCTCCACACAAGCTCGCACATCTTCACTCTGCCAGGCGAATCAGCGTACAGAGCGTAAGGCTTGTTCTCATATAAAAATAGCATGGCAACATTCCCAGGCGTGCGTGCACACGGCTTTCTCGGATCGAGCTCGGGTATGTGGGTGCCGACGCAAGAGACGGCTGCAGGACGCCAGGTCATGACACATCCGAGCCTTTTCATCCCATTGCTTGCAACTGACATCCTCATTAATGGCCCTTCTATATTTAGAATGCCGCGTATGGTCGGTGCCGTGGCATGGCTGGGACTGGCTAGGTCGCCACTGGGGTTTCTCTTCGACTCGGAACCCTCAACGCATCGACGGACTCCAAAGCAGTTGTGGCGCGTGAACTGGAGCACCTCTCGCGGCTTAAAATGGGAAGTACATTGAGATAATTCAAAGGGACTTCATCGGTGATTTTATGCGGTAATTGTCCACTTTATCTGACGTGAATGCATTTTAGCACTGACTGTACACTTCAGTCAAGGAACGACTCTAGCTTGTGGTATGTGGGGGTCTATCATCGAATAGAACCAAGACTTCGGGCGTTTCACAGCGCTGAATGATACGCGTCTCTACATTCGCCTTCAAGCTCTGGAATCCCTGACCTTAGCGCGATAACTCGGTGAGCGGTGTTATCCGGTGCTGAGTTAACACGAATGCCTCATATTATGCTTCGTGCCCGACAATTGACGGTACCGATGTCAAGTCCTCGGGCTCGGTCCCGCTCTCTCAGCGGTGTTATGTTCCCATCTATCTACCCAACTTCGCTATTCAACGGAGAGCTCAGCACATTGGATATGTTGCACTCGCCGGCCTGTATTTGGGATACAGTCAATCGATTTAACGGTACCGCACGACGCTTGTTCACAGGTTACAGCGCAAGTCTCTGTCATTGGTTGGCAAGGCTCATCGTGCTTTCCACCAGAGGTGCACCAAGAGGACGGGCCCAGCAGCACAAATATTACAGCAGCGTAGAATGAGAGGTATAAAAGGACAGCGCAACTCACCACTCTCTCTTCAGGACACTCGCAGTCTTCTCTCCAGCCTCAATTAAACGGTCATGGCTTTCAAGCAACTCATCGCTGCTCTTTCCGTTGTGCTCTCTCTTCAGGCAGCCCAAGGTATGCCTTCTCCAGCTGCACATATCCCCTTACCGTGCTGATCGCGATGCGTAGCTGCCGTGGTGAAGAGTAAGCGCGCAGCATGCTCCAACGGCGCCAGTGTCAGCGACGAGTCGTGCTGCGCGTGGTTCGACGTCCTCGACGACATTCAGCAGAACCTCTTCAACGGAGCTCAGTGCGGGGCCGAGGCTCACGAGTCTATCCGTCTGTAAGTGCTCCTGGTTTTTCGCGATTTTGCGAGATGGCTTATCTGCAATCTAGCGTCTTCCACGATGCCATTGCCATCTCTCCTGCCCTTGAGGCCCAGGGCCAGTTTGGGTATGTTTCTTTCTTTATTAGTGTGCATCAAACGATCGCTAAGTGTGCTTAATAGCGGTGGTGGTGCCGACGGCTCCATCATGATCTTTGATAGCGTCGAGACTGCGTTCCAGGCGAATGTCGGCCTTGATGAGATTGTCCAACTCCAGAAACCATTCGTCGCGAAGCACAACGTTACCCCCGGCGACTTTATTGCGTTTGCCGGTGCGGTCGCGATGAGCAACTGTCCGGGTGCTCCACAGATGAATTTCTTCACCGGCCGCGCTCCCGGTAGGCTCGACTTGTTTACTCGACAAAAACGGCTCTAACCCGTACTGCGCAGCTACCCAAGCTGCTCCTGATGGTCTTGTCCCTGAGCCTTTCGGTATGTTGACAGAACGGAACGATAATTTGTCTCTGGCTGACCGCTTTTGTAGACGATGTCACTAAGATTATCAACCGCGTCAACGATGCCGGCCAGTTCGATGAGCTCGAGCTTGTCTGGATGCTTTCGGCGTAAGTAGCTCGCACTTTTGCCGCCGCATGTGCCCTGACTATCTGACCTCAGCCACTCTGTTGCTGCTTCTAACGACATCGACCCGACTGTCCAAGGCCTGCCGTTTGACTCCACTCCCGGCATATTCGACTCCCAATTCTTCGTCGAATCCCAGCTTCGCGGCACTCTCTTCCCTGGCTCTGGCGGAAACCAAGGCGAGGTTGAGTCTGGAATCCCGGGAGAAATGCGCCTGCAGTCCGACTCCTTGATCGCGCGCGACTCGCGCACGGCCTGCGAGTGGCAGTCCTTCGTCAGTGCGTATAACCCCGAGCCCGATGTAACTACAGTAGAAAGGCTGAAAACGGGTCACAGACAACCAGTCGAAGCTGACGAGCGACTTCCAGTTCATCTTCCTCGCGCTCACCCAGCTCGGTCAGAACCCGGACGTGATGACTGACTGCTCGGCCGTCATTCCACTCTCTAAGCCGATCCCTGGCAACGGTCCGTTTTCGTTCTTCCCCGCTGGAACATCCATTGCCGACGTTGAGCAGGCCGTGCGTACCCGTGTCACTCGAACATGAGCGTGACGATTAGACTGACTGTCCCTAACAGTGCGCATCCACCCCCTTCCCGAGTCTCACGACTCTACCCGGCCCGGCGACCTCGGTCGCGCACATGTACGTGGTCCTTCACTTAACTTTTTTTTGAGAACATTTGCTCATGGGATCCTCCAGCCCGCCGCCTCCTGGTGCTTAGACAATTTCTACCACGGTCCTAACGGCTATACTATAACATTGTCCACGGATATCGTTGTCCTACCAGTTTGCTTGCTACCTGTATTATAGCCTTCCCCAAATGCAACAGTTATAGTATGCTCTGCTTTCTGTGCTACCAGAGTCAACAGCGACTTGGAATCTTGTAGAACAGGTGCTTAACTGTAGACTGAGAGCGTATCGTCCTCCGCAGTAGCAAGCTGGCATCCGCATGGCAAGCCGCAAGCGAATTTCGTGTACGCTTACTTATATGCCTAGTCCGCAGGATCTCAGGCCGACAGCACTCGAGCGAGACATAATGCGCTTTACAGTATCTGCAGTTCGTCGGGATAGATTATGTAACCGCAGGTTGTCATAAGTTAAATAACGTTCTGATGGTACAGTCATTATCCATATGGAAGTGAGCCGCCTTACTCATTGCTCGCTTATTGATCATGAGTGATAGACATTGACTCATGGGTCCAAATGACTAGAACTGCGACTATCTGAGAACCATCGCCGTCGTCTCGAGGCACGACGAGGCGATCCCGGGTCCCTTGCTCGCTCGTCGCCTACCTTCCGCTTCGGTACTAGTCGAATTCTGCCAGCTAATATCATTTGTGCATACAGCATTTCTTCACGCGTGATACGCTCGTTTCATGCTAAGTGCCACATATTCGCAATCTGCCTTACTAATCACCTTTAGATCTGGGCTGTGGGCACATACGGCTTGATGCCGCCGCAGTAAAGCAAGGGCCGTTGTGAGTTGCTGTGGCTCAGCAGGATGTACACATTCCTGAGTCATGTCAGCCCCTCGAAGGTTGCCGCTGTTGCATTGCTTGAGCTTATAAGGACGATGACATAGACAGTATCTGCCAGCACCAACAGCTTAGCTGCCTCTCCGAGTCTACCTCGAGCAACGAAAGCAGCATGTCTACCCAGAAGGCTCTATACCTCCCCGAGCTCAAGGGCAAGCTTATAATCAAGGAGAGAGACATCCCAGAGCCAGGGCCCGGCGAAGTTCTCATCGAGGTTCATGCGGCTGGGCTCAATCCCGCCGACTGGAAAATCTCGGAGCTTGGGATCCTGGTCACCGAATATCCCATCGTCCTAGGCCTTGACTCGGCGGGCATCGTCAAGAAAGTCGGCCCCGAGGTCACCAACGTTGCCGTCGGCGACAGGGTGTAAGTAGAAGGCCCAGCGCCATGGCAACTTGCTGACCGTCTTGCAGGCTCCACTCAGGCTTCCGCAATGTCCGTAGCGGTACATTCCAGCAGTACACGATTGCACCTGCCGAGATTATTGCCAAGGTGCGTTGCCCGAGTCCTTGGCAGTCAGCGCTCTACAAATATGTTTCAGATCCCACCAAACCTGACGTTGGATCAGGCCGCATCGATCCCTCTCGCAGCCGCAGCCGCAGCCGTCGGCTTGTACTACCGCACAGGAACAGATGTCATCAGTCTCACTGCGCCCTGGGAGAAGGGTGGCCGCGGCAAGTACGCAGGCGAACCTATTCTCGTTATCGGCGGCTCATCTGCCGTCGGCCAACAAGGTGCGCAGCAATCCATGTCCATCTCAGGAACCAGCGCAGACTGTGTGCGTAGTGGTTCAGTTTGCACGGATCTCCGGGTTCTCGCCCATCATTGCCACGGGATCGCTGCATAACGAGACATACCTCAAATCTCTCGGTGTGACGCACGTCATTGACCGCGATGCGTCGCTCTCTGCGCTACACACCGCCGTGAAAAAGATTACGGCCAAGCCAGTCAAGGTCGTATTCGACGCGGTCTCGTTTGCAGATACACAGAACGCCGCGTACGAGGTGCTCGCGCCGGGCGGAAAGCTCATAATTGTCCTGCCCAGTGCCGTCGACGAGGATAAGACCACGCCCGAAAAGCAGGCCGTGATGGTGTATAGCAGCTTCTGGGGTACAGAGCGACGCGAGCTTGGCAAGAACCTGTACGCCGAGCTGACAGGATGGCTCGAAGCTGGTGAGATTAAGGTCAGCCATCGTACCTAGTCGTCTCGTTGGGCCATACTCACCGGCGACTCTGCAGCCAAATAACATCGAGGTATTGCCTGGTGGGCTCGTGGGCATCCTTAGCGGCTTGGAGAGGCTGAAGAAAGGCATTAGCGCAGTGAAGCTCATTGCTCACCCACAGGAGAATGCTTGAGGAGCTCGGTATACTAAGCACTTAGGTAGTTGATGTATATTAGTGTGGTGCGCCTTGGCGTGCGGTTCTGAAGTTCCGCCGTTTCCGACGTCGTTAGAACTATGAGACCGGTGATGGTGATATGATATAGGGATCGGCTATGTATGAATACGATTGCATATGTTATGATGGGAGAAAGCGTCGGCGACACCCGGGGGATAGAGCCGCCGGATGTATTCTCCGACTGCGCCGAAGTGGAAGAAAGCGACATAATAGGAAGTCTGCCTCGGTGCGAGCACGAATTCGGCGGCATCGTATATAAAACATCAGATACTACACAAAAGGTGTCGTAGACGCATGGCCAAGACTTACGAGGGCGCGCACAGCGTTTTGAAGACTGCGCCTGGGAGAAGGAATGGATGAGCCAGTAGAGATGAGTTATGAGCCGTGACATGCGACAGTATATATCAAACACTCGCGGTATGCGCTATATCACAGTATCATATTGCGTAGCGCCTCTTGAGCCCATACAAAATGAACTATCATAAACGATGTCGATGAGGAAAGGCAGAAAAAAGGTACCAAAAAAATTGAAGCACAAGAGCGCCGGCTTTGTGGCGTTCAGAAAGCGCCCGTTGAAATTTGTTTTCGAAAATAATATATGTAGAGATAGGCCGGAATTACCTTTACGGATACCCCCCTCCTGCTACGCACCTACCACGTGCAACTTTGGTGATAGCTTTCTGACTAGCCGTAATGAAAGAAAACAGGTTTCCAGCCGCCCCCCAGGCAGAAGAATGGCGAAAGGATGCCTGTGGCAGTGAATAAGTTATATTTGTGATAATTATCGTAGCTGATGTCCTTCATTCCAAACGAATGCCGCAGGCTGACTCGTATAAGTGCTCAGAGAGGCGCAATAGTGATGCATTGTAGATGCTAGTCATGCTAAGATTACAGTATCGGGGTATAGTATCACAGTCGAGATAACATCAATCAAGAAAAAATTATCGCCATCTCATCCTGAAGCTGATAGTTCATCACATTCAACTGAGTCCCAGCAGGAGCGCCACAACGTCCCGCCAGCCACGTCGAACGACCACGCGCGCCCCGTCGCCATACACCTCGACAAGCCACTCGACGAAGCGCCCGTCGAGGCCGCTCAGCGGACCGAGGTCAAACGACATTAGGTCCCTCGGCGTGAGCACAATCGCGGGCGCGCTGCTGCCCACGCTATGCGCCATCTGGTGCGAGTGCGCCGTCCGCTCAGGCAGCAGCTCCGCAAGACGCGCGAGCAGGCCGTCCGTATTCGCCTGGAAGGTCTGCAGCAACGCGAGCGTCGTCGCAGCTTGCTGCGCACGCAGCGACAGACGATCAACGTCCTCAAGTGCGTCATCGTCTGAGCTGCCCCTCTGTGTTTTCGCAGACGTCGCCGTAGCGTTGCTCCCGCCTCCTGTGCCGCGCGCACTGGCCCATGTCCACACCGAGCTCCCGCTTGCCCGTCGCATTGCCTTTGGTGTCCGGTGCAGAAGGATCCCGTCCTCCTGTGCGATCGATGGCGGCGGCGTGGTCCGACCTTCGATGCCCATTCCGACGTTGCGCACGTACATCTTCGACTTGGTCGACCTTGCATCGGAACCATCGCCACCAGAAGCCCCGGACTGCGCATCATCGCCATTGGGCCGCATGCTGCCCCAGTTCTCCGCACGGCTCCCTTCCCGATCTCGCCACACCGAAGACGACCGCCACGTGCCCATCCAGAGTCCCGCACATATCACACAGACGTCTTCGTACACGCGCCAGACGTCTCCCCAGCCAGATGCGAAGCTTGCGAGCTTGCCTTGTGACTTGCTTGTGGGGTAGTATGACGAAGAGGAAGGGGTGAAAGCGGGTGTCGTTTCGGAGCCATCAGAGCTCGACTGCATCAGTCGATCGAGTTCCGTCCACTGAAAAAACTTTTATTAGCGCATATAATGGCGTGACGAAGCAGAGTCTCACCAGTTTGACGTCGCTCCACGTAAAGCGTATTGTTGATAGCCTGTACTTTTCGCCCCTGAACGGGGGCGGTCTCGACGAGGAAGGCCTGGGCGATGCCATCGTGGGCCTGCCGCCTCGGCTTGGGGTAATCGTCAAGTCGACCAGTAAATCGTAATACTCGGGCTTCTCCAAGAATATCGCGTCGGTGGTGCACGCAACCCAGCCGCGGCCGTCCATGCTTTCCTCCTTCAACCGGTCCAGGTCATGCAGTGTCACGACCCCGAGCACCTTTATGCCAGCACGGGCCTTGTCCTTGAGCTTCCCCTTCGCCGAGGATGAGAAGTTGAATGATGAGGGCTCGTCGAGGTTGAACGACGGGGTCGTCTGTGCCTCAAAGCACATGTCCGCCGCAACCTGGCAGAGGACGCACGCCGGTTCGACAGGCGGAGTGGTGTATATGAGTACACGTCGACGGCCGAGAATATGCTTGTACAGTGTGAGAGACGACGGGCCAAGCGCACGCAGAAGATGTGGCAGTTGCAGCGTTGGGTTCATCAGCATGTCCCGATCTTGGGACAATGATGCGTTGATTCGTGTTGACGGTTCGGAAGATGTCTGTGATGCAGAATCGAGTGGTGAGTAGTCCAGGCCGAATCCTGACATCTCTGCCTCCCATCCTCGCCAGTCTCCCGCTCCACCGAGGTCCGACCGTCGAACCTGCCTCTCCTCAAAAAATGCCCTTGCTGGCTCCCAGTCGCTGTCCTCCGGTCCCAGAGCAGAGCCTAGCGTAGTAATTCGGTCTTCCATGCGCTGATACATGGTATTCAGCATGCGCTTCAGATCAGGAACGTGCTTCCACGGCCGCGCGCGGGTGCTCCTCGCGAGCAGGATGCCTAGCGACGAGAGACGGAAACCTCGATGGCCATGCTCTGCAGTCGGTCTTCGCCGGAAGATGCAGACGCCTTGGTGCGACGATTTTGTGAAGTAACTGCGGGGGTCGCAAACCTGTGTTAGCCGCAACATCGTGGGAGCGGGCATAATTTGGAGAAGGCTTACACGACGTCCTCCTCGACTAGATGCAGCCCGCTGGGGAGACAGCTGAACTCTACGTTTGCCAAGTCGAAGTCTAACGAGATACGACGAGGTTAAGCAACGCTCGCCAATCTCTCGAGGGAGGACTGACCATCGCTTGCCTTCAGCGACCAGTCCAAGATATTGCCCTGAGTAGGATGGAAGGAGGCATGGAAAATTGCAACTGGAGAGACGACAGAAGTCAGCAAGCTGTGACGACAGGCGCATGCGGCACAGCGTCCAAGGGTCCTCCAGCCGCATACACCCCGTATGTGCGAGGGGGGAGCTCACCTACGTCTTGTGGCGGACGCTGCCTCGCCTCCGAGGTGCTCATCGGGTACACAAGGATGGAAGAGGAAGAGAAAGCTGTACAAGACCTGTACAGGCCAGCGTGCCTTGGGGTAAGCAGAAGTAGCAAGCGATAGAAGCCTAGCAAGCCATAACAGAGTTCAAGCGCCTTCTAGTCCTGTGCCTTTATCAGGGTAACAGGGTAAATAGAGCCTGTTATCTTCATATTCCCACAGTAATAATGATAAGCAAGTACGCCTCTGCGGTGTACCATCATCCTCGAGGCCAGTTCCGAAGCCAGCGAGAATGGCATCCTCGTCATCGCAGCCACAGCAAGTCAATGTAACGGATCTAGACCTGTCACAGCTTGCCGAGGTCCGGAGGCAACTGGAGGAGGTAAGTAACTCGCTGGAGACGTGTATTCGCTCATCCCAAATAACGTCCTCTACGCTATGAAAACAGGAACTGAGTCACCTCACGAATTCCTTCACACAACTAAAACAAGCACAAGCGAAGTTCAAGGCCTGCATCGATAATGTCGCAGAGGTGAAGCAGGAGAACAAGGGTGCGTGATGTAGCATTCAGTTCTTATGCCAGATACGCTGACCGTTTTGCGGTAGACAAGACAATCCTTGTGCCGTTGACAAACTCGTTGTATGTCCCTGGCAAGCTTTCCGACCTGGAAAACGTCATAGTAGATGTGGGAACTGGGTACTACGTGAAGAAGGTATGCGGATATCTGCGGCTTCCTGTGCTGATACATAACTGACCACTCTTGTGTATTTTGATACCAGTCACGCGCACAAGCGACAAAGCATTATTCGGCGAAAGTGGAGTACATCCGGACGAATCTGGAGACTCTACAGGACACGATACAAAAGAAGCAGGAGAATTTGAACTACCTTGTACAGATCATGCAGGCGAAGCTACAGGCTCAGGCAACGGTAAAGGAATCCAAGTGATGCTACCGCACCTCGCTGTAACCTGTTAGATTTGACCATTGAGAGCCTTGCGCGACATGCTCTGTCAGTCGCCGAGGTGAGCCTTCATCCTCTTTCGGTGCACTTTGCACCTTACTCTGCGTTTGGGTCCTACTAGGAATCTTGATCTGGGATTAGATCTTCCTTGGTAGCATGCACTGCCTCGCATCAGCTCAGCTGCCGATTCCTCAACGACGCTGTGTGCATTTGAGCTAGATACAGTGGTATGGAGACGACATAGCTACTCACAGATATCAAATATCGGCTTGCCACATCGTCACGAACGAGTCCTGTTCAGCGCATTGCAGCTCCAGCACACCCCTTGCTACCCAGCATTGATCCAGCCTTATGTTTCTGGCTTTGAATCCGGTGTACGACGAAGGTAAAGAGGCTGACCCGTCCAGAAAGCTTGGTTTATGTAGTAATATTTCAGTTACTTACTTCGTTTAGATCGACTCTTACTGATCTGACTCCACTTATTGACCCGTGTTGGTATACTATCGTTACTCCGCTTGCTTATACGCATGTCCGAAGATCCGCTCCCGCAGCTTTCCCACCTTTGCCCACATCCCCAGATCGAGCCCAGTGCTATAACCTGCACAGCCAAAGCCGACAAACGAGTGCACAACAGCGCCTCTGTACCGACATCGTCGCGCAGGTACACAGGTCCGAGCGTTAGGTGAGGTGTACAGCCCGGAGTGAACTCTGCTGCACCTCCTCTCTCCAACAAGCCACCACACACAAAACATGGCAGATAAGAAGGTGCGGAACGCAGCCTTCACCATCCCTCTAACATCCACCGAAGTCGTATAGGGTTCGACGATGCTCTCTGCAAACAAGCTTGCGATGTCCAAGGCACTAGGTGCGGCGTTCCTCAATCACCAGGTCGAACAGCTCGAGAAGACTGTCTCTGCGAAGGAGCACGGAGGCTGGAGAGACCGTAAATACAATGGGCCGCAGGCTTCGGGCAACAGGAGACCTGCGCAGGGCGCCGGAGGCGGACCGAAGGCTGCAAAGAAAGGAGGCGAGATGAATGGTGCGGACGAGCGGCGCAAGAGGGAGGGGACCGCTGAGGAGAAAGACGCAGACATCGTAGTCGTCGATGCGAGTGTCTTGGTCCACGGAATATCTCAAGTGAAGAAGTGGTGCAGAGAAGGAAGACCCGAGATCGTGATTGTCCCCCTCGAAGGTGCGTACGCCTCCGTACATCCGGAACAGTTCACACAACTTGCAGACAGCTCTCAACACTCTTGATCTCCTCAAGAAAGGTACTAGTTTACTTGCTCAGCGTGCTCGGGCAGCTTCCCGCATCCTTGAGGCCCAGGTTGGCACGAACCCCCGCATCCGGGTCCAGCGCGATGACGCCTTCGTCCCCTGGGACAGCATCCCCTTCCACGATGGCGTACCCCCTGCGCCGTCCCCGGAGTGGGTCCGCCGCACAATCTGCTGCGCGCGCTGGGAGGTCGAGCATGCCACGGCCGAGATCGGCAAACCGGACACCCAGCCGAAGGTCATCCTCGCTGTGCTCTCCGGCGCGCCCGAGCCCTTGTCTGATGGCGCGCCGGCAAGCGGCGCAACCTCTACTTCGCCCGTCCCGCTCCCTGCGCCGCAGCCGAACAAGCACGAGCCGCGTGCAACGGGCACGATGATTCTTCAGTGGGCCGCCCGCGCCGGCCTTGATGTCTTCGAGGTCGCTCCGACACAGCTTCAGAACGGCAAGGACGGCCATCCTGCCGGCCCACGTCGCTCTGGTGAGCAAGGCCGTCGCTCACCTGATGATAATCGCAACCCGCGCGGGCGCCGCAACTCGAACCAGCAGCGGTACGACGGTCGTGGTGCGGGCAATGGCGGTGGCGGCCTCGTCGAGCGTCCGCCCGCAGTCATGGCGATGATGGAAGCCATCTCTCAGCCCAGCCGAGTCGTCCGCGTCCTCGCACGCGGCGAAAAGCTGGACCCAAACTAGCCAGAATAGAGCCAGTTGATAAGCTGACCAAGTTACCGAGTGAGCTCATCCTCGTTAATTCTCGCATGCACACGCTGATCCACGGGGCAGCCTGATGGTGCAGTACGCAACTGTTTGGCCCGGCCGCAACCGATGTTGATCGCCAATCGCTCCTCGCTGTGGATGCTCATAGGCGCATTCTGCTGCGGTTTTGCGCACACTCGCACCCTAGACTCTCCAACAATCCTGTTCGATGCGGACCTGTTTTCTCAGTCGACACGCGCGAAGATACGATACCCTGATACGACTTTTTTCCCAGTGGTCATACGGCGCAAGTACGAAAACACGAAACGGAAAAGTTTGCAAGTAAGCAAGGCAGACGGTGATCTGTCCCGGAGCCTCCCGATGAAGCTCTGGCTCTGTTCGTTCTTCTGGTATGTCCCGGTTGGATCTATGTCTATGTCTTGAGTGCTCGCTTTATTGGTGGACCATTTTCTTCTCTCTTTCCCTCGGTGCGGTCTGCTCCGATATCCCCGCGTTCCGTCACATGTATGGTTGCCTATGATGTCTTAGCATATGTCTAGTAATGTACATATGCCCCTGATCTGTTCTCTTCTTGTCCGTATGATTTTTAACAGACGAAATCTACTTTTATCTCCCTCTTTTATCCGACGTTTCCGCTCATTGGACCCTAGTGAAACATGCGAAACAGGTGCGGAGCGACGATAGCAATGGGTAATACGTGCAAAGCAACTACAGTAGATGATGGTATAGATAACGCTATAAGCACAAAATGAGGAAACGTTCCCAGTCCGAACAATTACTTCGACTTCAGCACGCCCTGCGCAAGTGCACGTAGCATGGCGATGGTGACCTGAGGCTTCGCTGGGGGTTCGCTGAGCGCAGCAATGGATACTGCTGTGCTGAGCGGGGGCGGTGTAATGAATCCGTCAACCCCAGAAGCGTCACTGCCAGCTTGCTCGGTGGGCTCTGGCGAGAAAGACAGCTTGAGCCGTTTGTTAGCGGAGCCAGCACTGCAATGAAAAAAATTAGTCCTGATGCTCGTCGTAAGGCATGTCACGCACACCAACCTTCCAGTGAGGCTCTCATCTGAGGCTGGTCTCTTTTGTGCCATAGTTGCGACAGCGAGCTGCCTGAGTCGATCCGAGGTCGTCTGCAGCACGTTCTCGAATCGCTGACGGGACTCCTCGAGCTCGCTTCGCGGGATAGCATACACAGCGGCAAGCTCTTCTCCCAGCACTTCCTCTGCGTGAGCGACTGACAGCCTAATGCATACGTCGAGATACGGGCCAGACGCGTATGCCGCGGTGAGGTAAGGTGAGTCGTCGAGATCGATGGGGATCTCAAGCTTGACGTCGGCCGGCCCATCGAGCAGCGATAGCAACTCGTGTAGGAAGACATTCAGTGTATCTTCGAGGGAGCGCGTCACCACGCCATACCGTGTCCAATCGAGCCTGTCGTTCACCCAGCAGCTGTCCAGCCAGTCGGCGGCAATGGTTTGAAGAGGCTCGGTAAACAAGTCCGTCAGGGCTAGTCAGAGTAGTCGGAATAAGTACAGAGGATATCAAGAGGCCCAAGGCTCGAACGTACCTTCCCAGTACACGACTGCCGTCAGCTTGTCCTCGACGTCCAAGTCCAAGCAGCAGAGTAGGTCTTCGAACTTTTTGTCCAAGCCCATTGCGCTCGACGAGATAATTAGGCTCTGGACATCACGAACAGCGCCAGACTTGCGAAGTTCCTGGACCTAACGATTAAGGTCAGATGGAGTACAAGAGAGAATACGATATCCACGTACCATGTCACCAAAGTCCGACGCAGCTTCGAGGCCGTCAATCTCCGCCCAAGTGATGATTGCGAGAGAGGGCTTGAAGCGTGGCTGTGATTCTTTCTTATACACTTCTATGATATCGCGAAGACGGGCACAATCGTCTAGAATGCGATATTTCCTGGGATACATGGCGTCAGTATTTTGCCTCCGCAAGTCCAATAACACCATCACCAACCTCTCGAGTACATCGTCTACCCCATCCATCGGCGTGCGCTCGAACACGATAAGCCCAGGCGCACCGGGTGATGGCGGGTTGTCGTACTTAGGCAGAACTGGGATCGAAAAGATACTCTCCGCCTGCCACTCGCCCGACTCGGGCACGTCAAACTTGATCTCCAGCCATATCGCCGTGCCATCGTTGACCATGTTTGTCGAGAGCCATATACGCCACTCGGGCGGATACTCCTCGTCTGCAGTGGCCGTGCGCACACGGTGGCGTACGCTCTCAAGGAACGTGCCTCGCGCCCAGCGCTCTTGGTGTTCTTCATGGTTCTATTGGAGAGTACATAGATAAGAATAGCGTTGAAGTGTTGAGGACGAGCGATATGCACCTCTTTCAAGCGTCGTGCGAGCTCTTCGTCTGATAGAGGCAGACGATATTCAGCGGAGATGCGCCGCCTCGACCGCTTCACCGAGGCAGATTCCAGCGAGGACGTCATCGACGCCCTACGCTTCTTCGCCTCCGACGATCGTTCTTTGTCCCGAATCGCACCAAAATCGCTCGATAGACGGCGTCGTTGAACCTTCTCCTGGTAAGCATCGCTGCGAGACAGAGCCTCAGCGTATGCGGCGCGGTCAGTCGTCCTCTGAATCCAACGATTGAAGTACTTCTTGACGATCAAGCTCTTGCGCGAAAAATTGAGGGCCATAGAACTGAGATTAGGCTCAGTCTCCTTTTCCTTACCCTTCGCCTTTGACAGTTTGACGGGCGAATTAGACGGCTTGGCAGATGAGGTAACCTCGTCCATGCCATCGAGGAGCAGCTTGGACGACGAAGCCACAGCAACGGGCGCTGTGGACGAAGGTATCGGAGTCCCAAACGGGGCAGGTGGAGACTTCGCCTTGGGCGAAGGCAGAGCCAGCGGACTGAGAATGTCATAAACAGTTGGTGACGAGTCGGGCATTTGTAGGCCGAACAGGTTGAGCGACTGCTTGCGGAGGAGTAACGAGGAGTTCTCCCGGGTCGGCCCTGGCAATGATGAAGAATCGAACCACCGCGCGGTTGGCGTAGGAGGTAGTGTCAGCGGCACGGGCTTGCTCATCTGTGGCATTTTATTTGGAGAAAGCGGCACTGGCGTAGTCGGCGCCGGAGGCAAGCCTGCAGGCGAGGGCTCCTCGTACAGCTGTGCTTTTCCAGGGAAATCCCATAACGTCTGTCTGCGGTCGATAATGCGAGCAGAGCCTGCCTGCTGCTGGTCTTCGACAGGTTCCTGGAGGGGAGGCGTGGATGATAGCGTAGGCGCCTGGGGAGCTATCTGCAGCGTCGTTGCTTCAACCTCCGAAGACGTCGATGGAGCGGGGAGCTGAAAAATACTTGCAGACGCTGGAGGTTGCGGTAGTGTCTCCGGAGGTGCTGGCTTAGGTACAGAGAAACTCGGGGTAAAAGAGGCGGCATTAGGATTGAGAGGCGAAGGCACCACTGGCTTGTATGACGGGAACCCGCCAAAAAAGGGCTTGGCCGGGGCTGCTGGAGCGAGATTCGGCTGATTGGAGACTGCCTCATGAAATACAGGTGGCTGCGACAGGGAAGGGGTTTTGGCAGGTGTAGGGAATGGAGGGGTCGAAAAGATACTAGTAGTGAATTGAGTCTGGGTCTGAATCACTGGTGTTGATGTTGATGCTGGTGCTGGTTGCGTAGGTTGCGATGGGACGATGGAAGGCGGTCGGCTCGGTGATCCAAATACTGGACCCCCAAAGACAGACTTCGGGGCGCTGCTCCCAAAGGTAGGGGCTCCAAACACCGAAGTTGGACCATTAGAAGTGGTGATGGTTGAAGTGTGATTACCGAAGACAGAATGCGGCACGGGCTGTGAAGAAGTGACAGCTCCAAACGCCGACTTGACACCCCCGTTTTGTGTATGAGCGAGTGCAGAGGGGGACGAGGTGAAGCTGGATGACGGCCATTCAGTCACAGTACGCGCAACAGGCTGATCGGTCTCAGGTAGGGCGGTCGACTGAGATTGCTCAGGCGAAGGGGTGAGCTCGAACTCGACAGCTTGCAACGGTCGAGATAGACCGTCGATGATCTCAGGTATAGTGAGATCTCCTCGAATGGATTCGATGTCCTCGATAGTGTCTGTACCAAACAGTCGTTCCATGATGCAAGCAACCAAGTAAATCATGACGATGTTGTTCTGCTCGCGAAGGACAGCGGCGAGCTGTCCAAAGATCTCTAGAGCCTCCTGGTCTACTACGAGCTTGGAGATTTTGCTAATGGGAGCGCTCTTTGCTTGGACAATGAACCTGAACTTTGTAACCAATTGAAAAGTGGGGTTGTCCAAGATCTCGGGGGGAATGTCCTCATGTCGTTCCTTCTGGTCGCGGATGTGAATGAGACGGTGGTATACACGCATCTCCAGCTCGGTAGACGACTGGTATCGCCCGCGCTGATCCTCGTAGAACTCCTTCAGACTTTGAAGTGCTAGGAAAAGCATTTCAGTGGTAGTCCGCTATATATGCGGCCGCACTCACTATTCATGAGCTGCTGCTCTTCCAGAGCAAGCGAGAAGTTGGGTTTATCTCGTTCAAGGTGCAGCGCAAGGATGTGAAAACGAGCACAGCGGTCATGGCATTCGATTGCCAATGCGCCGGTCTCGTGCTGCATTGTGAAGTCGCTGCGAATAGCTCGCGAACGATCGCGGATGAACGTGTAAGTTTCCCTGAAGCCTCCACGGGGAATAAGATCATGGAAGAGATAGTCCAAGGTTTTCTGTCGAGAACGTCGCTTTCCTAGGAAACTAAGGTCGCTGTGTTGGGCTTACCTGGAGTACTGGCGGTGGGCGAAGGTCAGAGGGCAACGTCTTGTCTCCTGCTGCACGCTCGTATATTTTGACAGCCCGTTTGTGATCGACGCGTTTGGTTCCCGGAATCTTCCAAATCATGAGCACAGATCATAAACGGCACGGCCAAGGCGAAGAAAGTACGTACAACTTCCCAGCGATCCAGGTTATTCTCGCGTTCTCGCCGATACCGTTCAAATTTGGGACACATGTCCGTGCAGATTCCAACCATGGTGATGGCTTCGTCCAAACGTTTGGGCACCAGCGGGTCGTCCATCTTACCCTCTGCAATGGCCGTCTTGCGCTCAATTTCGCGAGCTTTCACGAGCTGGCCCGACGTAAGCTGCTCCATGCCGTAAAACAATTGTGCAAGCGTACCTCTTGGTAAAAGCGTTCCCGCTCTTCCGCGGTCTCGGGCTCTTTCTCGTCCAGACCCACAGCCTCTACTTCATCGTCCTCAGCTCCCGAGTAAGAATCGTCGTGCCCCTCGTCTTCCGTCCCACTCATAACCTCATCCTGCACGACAGGCACCGCAAGATGCTGCGACGGCTGGTAAAGCTGCGGAGTCGATCGTCCGGACCCTCGACCTTGTCCGCGTCCTCTGCGTGGCCCACCCCCGTGCTCCCGTCTCTCAGAGTCGCTACTGTGCCCCGAGTTGTCTTGGCCGTTGATCCACGTTTTGTTGCGTGAATGTGGTCTCGAGGAGGCCCCGTTTATTTTGAAACCGCGTCCTCGGGGCTGAAGAGGACCGTCCATAGCGATGTGGTCGAGAACAAGATACGCGGGCGGCGGAAGCCAACCCGAGCCAGCCGTTGATATCACGTGATCGGGTCCATTATTCGCAAATCGTGAGGATTTTCGGTTTTTAAGGCTCTTCCTCCTGCCCTGCACTTGTTCACTTTGACTCTGGTTTCTCTGCATTGTTGAGCACCCTATTTGACATAGATTTTCATCGCGAGCTTGTGATAAGCTAGGCGACATTTACGAGCAATGGCTGATGAAAAGAAGAAACCTGTGGTCATTATAACCATTGGCATGGCAGGAGCTGGAAAGTCGACCTTCGTGCAGCGAATCAACTCGTACCTACACTCTCAGGACCCGCCGTCGCCTCCATACGTCCTTAACCTGGACCCTGCCGTTACACACGTCCCCTACGAGCCGAATATCGATATACGAGATACCGTCAACTACCATGAGGTCATGAAGGAGTGTGTGGATCGCCGCTAGCACTTGGGTGACTGCAGTTACTCACTGCTCTGTGAAGGTACAATCTGGGTCCGAACGGCGGTATCCTAACCGCTCTCAACTTATTTACGACTAAGTTTGACCAGGTTCTGGAGCTTGTAGAGAAGCGGGCAGAGACAGTCGAGTGCGTGCCTCTTACTTCTGACAGTCTGCACAACGCTGTGTGTGTCGAGGGACTAATCTCCGACTGCTTTTGGGGGTAAAACCTTTGCAAATCCTCAGAAGTGCTCGTACCGGAGACTTGGAAAGTCTCCTTCCATACGCTTTTCGTGGCACATAGCGATCTGCAGACGTCAATGATATTCTCTGAGACTCACTGACTCTACTCAATAGCTATGTCGTTCTCGACACCCCTGGGCAAATAGAAATCTTCACCTGGTCCGCCTCAGGAGCTATCATAACAGATGCAATCGCGTCTTCTCTGCCGACCGTGGTCGCATATATTATCGACACCCCGCGAACGACAGCCCCTGCCACTTTTATGTCCAACATGCTCTACGCGTGCAGGTGCGCCCTGTCTACCTCCTCCCTTCCTGTGTGGCGCTAACATGCCTCCTTTCTCCAGCATCCTCTATAAAACAAAACTTCCCTTCATCCTTGTGTTCAACAAGACGGACGTGCAGCCACACAACTTTGCCTTGGAATGGATGCAGGACTTTGAAGCCTTCCAGGCAGCGCTTGCGGCGCACAAGGGCACGACAGACGACGAGGGCGAGCCGACGTACATGCACAGCCTGATGAACAGCATGAGCCTCGTCCTAGATGAGTTCTACCGACACCTCACCGCCGTTGGCGTCTCCAGTATGACTGGCGCTGGTATCAAGGAATTCTTCGATGCCGTCCAGGCCGCGCGGGCCGAGTACGAAAAGTGCGTCGGCTGCCACTTTCCCCCTTCAAATGATGCTTATGATGCGACAGGGAGTACCTGCCCGAACTCGAGCGCGCGCGCAAAGCTCGCGAGGATCAGCTGGACGCGGTCAAGCAGGACTCAATGTCACGTATGATGAAGGACCTCGAGCTCGACCGCGCACGGAACCCCGAGATAGTTGCGCGTGACCGGTGGGATCCATCACAGGAAGAAGACGACGATGCAGACGACGAGCTTGACGTAAACATCATTGACCGCAGTATGTCTCGCTCTGCTTCTCAGTCAACCGTAGACTAATCTTCCGTAGGCGAGGAACGTTGGCCAGGCCAGTACATCGACGTCACCCAGATGAGGCGACGAGATGACCAGGGTGTGAGCTGGCCGCGCCCTGGCTAATGTACCGAATCGTGAAACTAGTGTGTGCTTGACGTCTTCGATGTATAAAGGATTACTCTGTATTTGTTTTTGAGCTGACAGCGAGCACTATGAGAGCATTTGCGCGGGGCTTGCCGTGTTTGTTGTGCCTTGTTCTGTTCCGCCACAGGGCTTTCCAAGGCGCAGGGAAACCTTTAGCGGTTAGCACCCTCCGCTAGTCATGGGTGGGTACATTGTACCTTCATCTATCAACAACTTGAAAAATACTTCTGTTAACCATAATGTGTTCGTAGATGTCACAAGTAGATCCGCATTGAGGTTAGCACCCTGTGGCCTGCGGAAGCATGTTCTTGTTCGCAGTCCTGCCATTGCACCCGTAGCCTGGTGGCCATCGAGGTTACCGATGGTGAGTTCTCGTCGACCTTCAACCCGAAAACGCCACCAGCGGGAACTCTGATCCCGTCTTGGGCTCATGCATGCATGTGCCATGCGTTGCCATTGCGACAACGTATACCTTCACGTGGTACATCGGTCAGCGAGTTTATCACAGCTCCTTGGGGCCTCGCGCTACTGTGCTCGCCTCGCTCTCGTCTCTTCTGCCGTAGGTACGGGCACCTTAGAAGCCCCAGTTTTGATATTTGCACCACCATTAACCGCTTGCTCTCCCATCCGTGTCGCGGCATGCTTTGCGGACGAGAGACTTGCCCTTGCTCCCGATGTCGGTGTCTAACTGATACCGGTTCCACCATTCATTTGCAACATGTCCATCAGCGCCGTCAGTGCACAGCGCGATAACAGAATGATTGAACAATAAGCTTCTTCTGCCTTCGTGCACGGTAGTCACCTTGCAGGCGTGGACAGGTTGAGGCAGACCAAGCCGGAAAGGCACCCATCGAGTATTGCCTTTTCCGGCACCAGGCATGTGCTTATGTAATCAATGTATAAGAGGGAAGCGTGCAGCGTCAGATCTGAACTCGACCACCTCCTCTTTGTTTTTACCTGGTAATTTCTCTCGATTTTTCGTTCTCTTTTTATCGGCAAGATCGAAACGGGTCCCGCAAGACACCTGCCGTGGTTGCCGCTCTCGTCGAACGTCTCGTACCTGATTTGCCATGGAACGGTCAGCGGCCCTGTCTTGGATATAGTGTGGCACGTTCTGATGAGGGACATTTTGGCCGAAACATCCAGGTATGCCAAGCTTGAGAAAGTTGGTGAGTGGCATAAACGACCTCTCAATTCTCACATACTAATTTGGCTTCTCACTTGCCAGGCGAAGGTGCGCTACCTTGATGCCGCTTCGCATCTCCCGTGATAACCAGCTGTCTCCGTCCCCTTACGAACTCTCTCATACTGCATATCTACTCCGCGTCCCTCTCGATCATCAGGTACCTATGGCGTGGTTTACAAGGCCAAAGACCTCACGACCAACCAAGTGGTCGCGCTGAAGAAGATTCGCCTTGAGGCCGAAGATGAAGGCGTGCCCAGCACCGCTATCCGGGAAATCAGCCTTCTAAAGGAGTTGAAGGACGATAACGTCGTACGGTGCGTGTCATGACTCCCTAGCCGTGCGCACTTCTTTCGGTCCCACGTGCTGATCAGTTTCGTTTTCCATGTTTGTTTCGGAAATTCCGTGTCGCGTACCATAGCCTGCTCGACATCGTGCACGCCGACCAGAAGCTGTACCTTGTCTTTGAGTTTCTTGATGTCGACCTCAAGCGTTACATGGACATGGGTAACAAGGCAGGCAACCCTCTCTCACTGGATCTTGTCAAGGTGAGCCACTCGTTCAATAGTCTGCGTAATCCAACGTTTGGTCCCCTTCGGTTCGCGTGCGAATCGCTGCCCTATGGGACACGTGAACCAGGAGCCGGTCGCGTCCTAACACGTTTGCGAGCCTGCTAATGCGGCAAGCTTTCGCCACATTGATGAGGTCACGTGACCACAAAACCTTGGCGATACTTGTGCCGGCTGTGTGCGGCCAGCGAGACGAGGGAAGCCTCCTTGACTCCGCGTGCATCACTACAATATTGGATCGCAGCAGGTTTCAGATGTGGCGCTTACCCGGTACTGACAACGTGCTTGCCAGAAATTCACACATCAGCTTTCATCAGGTCTCCTCTACTGCCATTCACACCGTATTCTCCACCGTGACCTCAAGCCGCAGAACTTGCTGATTGACAAATATGATAATCTCAAGCTCGCCGATTTCGGTCTGGCGCGCGCGTTCGGTATCCCAATGCGGACGTACACCCATGAGGTGAGTGCGTGTCTTGCTGCAGAAGTTCGAGAAGACGTATGTTTCGGTATAGGTTGTGACACTCTGGTACCGCGCACCCGAAGTTCTTCTTGGCTCTCGTCACTACTCGACGGCGATTGATATGTGGTCTGTTGGCTGCATCTTTGCCGAGATGGTCATGCGCGGGCACCCGCTCTTCCCTGGCGACTCAGAAATCGACCAGATCTTCAAGATTTTCCGGTGCGTCTCTTCTACCGACACTCGCTTGTCAAGGGGTTGCTGACCTAGTCTGCTTAGCACTCTCGGTACCCCAGGCGAAGAGTCCTGGCCGGGCATCAGCCAGCTGCCGGACTACAAGCCCACGTTCCCGCACTGGAACGGAGAAGACCTCACGGAGACGGTCCCCGGGCTCGACGAGGACGGCATCGATCTGCTCCGGGTGCGTGCGGTCTGGCCTCCGTCATCGATTGTCATGACTACTAACATATATGCTAGCAACTCCTCATCTACGACACCGCGAAGCGCATCTCTGGTATGTCTACTCCCACCACCGCATTACTCCCACATGCTGACCCCAAGTAGCGAAACGCACCCTCATCCACCCGTACTTCAGTGACTACAGCCCCTGAGCGTCGCATCGTACCCCGTCCTTACCCTGTCCCCTACATATCCCTACATATTAGCTCCGCTCCTTGTTCTGCGCCCTCCTCGTGTATAATCTTCGCCTAGCCGCCCGCACATACGCATATATCGATTTCGCATTCACCACACATGTATTTCTTCCTTCGGTTACGTCTGAAATGTGATGTCTTCGCGTGCACTCACCTCCCCACTCCTGTATCACTTCCAATCTCCACCTTTGATACCAGCGTTGTCGCCATTTCGTTTATACTTATGCATTTGTCTGATCACAATGAAGTCTGGCATGAAGCCTTTAGTATGGCATATTACGTTACGCTCAAGAAGACAATGATCCTGCTGATTTAGGGAACGAACACGCATAGTTCGATAGTCCGGGGTACATACTACGGCCGTTACCGCCAGATAGTGCTACAGCAACCAATTTGCAGCCATCGACAATGGGAAATACAAAAGTGAAGGGTTATTTATTTATACGACAATCAGCAAGCAACGGCCCAAGGTCCAGGAGGTGTGGATAGGTGGTAAGGAGAAGGACAGGTATAAGAAAGAGCGCATACAGTCGAAAAGAAGGTTCGCCGAAGCCGAAAATACTCGAAAAGACAGTTGGCGGAAACCGATGTTTACAAAGCGCAAGTCTAAAAGAAGGGTATGGATTTGAGACAGCCGAAAACGTCTCACAAAAAATGTCAGAAGGGTAGAGCCATCCAAAAAATCTCACCGAGCCCGCCTTAGACACCAGGAAGTGTGAAGTCAGGGAAGTCCGGCCAGTTACCTAATTCGGCGGGATCACCGCCGAGGCGGATCCAGTGCGAATAGGACGGGGTCGGGCCGTCGAGGACGAAGAGCTGGTGCCAACCAGGCGGCGAGATGTTCGCGTTCGGCGGTGCGGTGATGGTGCAGGTCGTGCCCGAGCACGAGAACTCGGGGAAGATGGTACGCCCGTCCATCGCGTTACCGTGCGTCGAGGAAATCGCTATTTCAAATATATCAGACAGGGAAGCAAGGCCAGAAAGCGAGGAGACGCACCAGCGATCATTGAGACGCGCATCGTGTCCGTCGTGCCTTGGAAGAGGTTCACCTCGATCTGGTACGTCCCACTGTAGTCCCAGTCCGTCTCGTCGATCGTGAAGTTCGGCTGGATGAGGCCTTGCGAAAGGTAGGGCGGAATGTAGACTTCAACACGCATCTCTTCGGGGAAACCTGGCGTCTGGGGGTCACTGCCAGAAACCAAGACGCGGCCGTCATAGAGGAGCTGGAACCAAATGGTCAATAGGGCGTGACTTGTGCAAGACTAGCGACTTACGGTAGCCTCGGAGTGGTACAGACGGGCGACAATAGTATTGTTCAGAATAGAGATACGCTGATTCACGGGCTGCGTCGGATCGTAGAGAATGGCGTTGAAGTTAGGATCGGTAGCCAGTCCGAAACCGGCAACGCCTTGCATAGCACCATTGACAATGAGGAACGTCCCATCAGGTAGGGCTTTGGGGAATGTTAGTTATGGAACCAGAGCATATGTGCACAGGGCAGGACGGACCAGCCTAGCACAGCGGTGAGTCTAGAGATTTTCTAGAGTGAACAGACGTGACTCACTATACATGGCATGACACGCTTCGACGGCTGCAAAATCAACAACATGTGAGATGAGGTGACGGATCGAAGGTGAAAAAACTAACCATTCGCTCTAGGGTCCAAGTCGCATTCTCCACCTCGGGCTGGATGCTCACACAATTGTCGAGGGCGACTCCAAAGTCAGAACCACCGCAGATCAGGACCGTTATAGGATCCGTGTAGGGTGCATGTTGTGGGAACATCACAGCGCTGCCCTCGTTGGGATAGCTTCGGCCGGCCGCAGGACTGGTAACAGATCCTGGCATGTTAGGCAGGACTACCGCGGTATCGAGGGTGACGGGATCGAGAAGTCGTGCTTCGTTATAGTAACCTATCAGCCAGAAACATTAGCCTTGTGTGCAAACTGAGGGGACGTCAAGCACCCACCGATGAAAATCCGGCCACTCGGAAGAACGTGGAGGAAAGGGTAGAGGTTATTGGGGTCGGTACGGTTCAGGTACTCGAGGAACTTCCAGGTGTCGCCAGTACCATTTGGCTTGGGGAGGATCTCAAGACTAGGCTGAGGGGGACCGTTGCTACCGGTTTCTCCTCCGACGACCAAAATGGAACCATTGGCCATTATCATGGCCGTGGGATACCAGCGCTGAACCTACGTAGAGCGTGAGACATAGAAGGCAGTACTGAGGCGAATACACCTACCTGCAAATGGAGCTCCTCGAAGTTTTCCTCCCAGTCGTTCGTGCCGTTCACGCCAGGGCTGCCGTCGGGAGTATAGAGCCGGACACCCTGAGTGCTGTCAAGACTCCAGCCGCCAACATTCAGTTGACGCCCGCCCTTGTCCGGCAGAACGATGGCTGCAGAACAGAACACATCAGACTTGACGTGCATCGTTCGCCATGCCAGATCAAAGTCGTCGACGAGGGTGGGGTCCAACTCGTATGCGCCAGTGGAGTTGTCGAATTCGCTCGTTCCGAACTTTTCCAGGAAAGCAATCTTGTTGTTGATGCCGAGGGTGACGAGAAGAGGAACTACAACACCAGGGACCTGTCACCACAGACATAGTCAGATGAAACATGAGCATATGTATACTTGCCAGCATACTCACAAAGAACTAGATGAAATAGGGTATAAGCAAGGATAAGATGTTATTCGGAGTAGGCACATACCTCGTATTCTCCAATCACCTCGGGAGTGTGCCAGACGTTCAGCGAACCATTCCACGTGTAGTACTAAATGGAACGAATAACGTCAGCGAAATGCTGCAAATCCCGCAGCATTGATGTACACACCGAGAGGCGGTTGGCGCCACCACAGATGTGGATAGCATCACCAGAGCAGGCAATGTTGCAGTCCGTCTCGTTGGCGAATCCAGGGCTATTGTTGGTGAAGTCGGAGACATCTCCACAGTCTACGAAAGGTTTGATCAAAGTCTAGTGACGAAAAGGCTAGTAATGCACTCACAGCATTCATCTGCGAACTCCATGCCGGCAGCGCCATAGCCGAAGGCGGAGCACTGACTAAGACATGTCTCTGCGCTGTTGTTGGTCGGGAGGATGAGCTGCCACGGAAACACGCGAGCGGTGGTGTTCTCCCTATTAGAGACGTTAGACACTCTGGCGGTATCAAGAACCGGAAAATGTTTACTGGATGCACCCCTGGAACGTCCAATTGCCGGGAAGGCTTGTGTTCTGCGCAACAGGAATGGGTAGTGCCGTGACGTTTCCGGTAGAGGTGTACACCTGAGAAACCGGGTGAGCTGGCGTTGCTCCGTATCCGTGGTCTCGACCGCGTTACTTACGGACAGCCTGTTAGGTCCGCCGCATGCCTCCCTGTAGTATAGAGCATAGATGCTTAGACTGATTCTCAGGCATGACAGCGTAAAACTCACGTAGCATTTCCGCCGCAGCCCATGTTGCAGTCGGAATCGGGGGCAGTGACGGCACCATTAATCAATTCGTCACCACAGAAGCATTGGACTGGAGAAATGTCAGTCTCATGCGCAGCGAGATCAGGGAAGTGCCACTCGTACCTGCGAATTCCATGCCAGCCAATGTGAAGTTCTGACCGTTGCACGTGGAAACACAGGTCTCGACTGTGAGATTTTGATTGTCAGGAATCTCAGTCGTGAAAATTCGTCCGAAAGCATTATCGCTAAAGCGGATGCGGTCAGACAGGCACGCAATTCGTACCAGGGGTACAAGACTTACACATAGCACGCGGAATAGTTCCAGCCAGTCGGAAGGCCTGACTCAACGGGGAAGACTGGAGTCCCGCCGCCGCCGCCGCCGCCACCACCCGGGTTGGTTGGACCATGAGGAAGAGTGCCAGTGAAGTTATAGACCTGTGACAGCAGCTAAATCGCCACATTCTCTCACACGCGCCAAAGGACTCACGTTGAGCCGATTGGGTCCGCCGCAGAATTCCGAGCTATTGCCAGCGCAAGTCATGTCACAATCCGTCAGGGGCGTGGGACCAGAACCAGCGGCGAAGTCTAGATCACAGAAACACTGAGTAGAGAACTCTGCACCTGCGAGAGGGTAGCCAGCGTTGAAACAGGCATTAGTGCAGCTCTCGATGGTGTTCGGTCCATCAGTGGTGACGCCGACGCCCAGGGTACGAGGGTTGCCGGAATCGCTGTGAAAATACATTGAGAGTACACCGCACAACGGTCGGGACACACGTACTTGTAACATCCTAGAGATTCCCACTGGCCTACGCTGGGCACGGTTACCGGAGGTGGGGGAGGGGGCACGCCGCTCCAGAAGACGCTGAGCCGATCTACTCTCCACATCAACTTCATTTCCCGAGTTTTAAACGCCAGAAAACGTACTTGGCCCGCCGCAAGTCTCGTTCGAGTTGCCAACGCATGTCATGTCACAGTCGCTGAGAGTAGCGTTCGTGCCTCCGTTAGAGAAGGCATCGCCGCAGTCTGTGACGGTCACATCAGTTGGTCACTGACGAAGTATGAGCTGCGCGTGGCTTACAGCACTCCTGCGCGAACTCAGTGCCGGCGAAGACGGTGCCCTGCTGAATGCAGAAGTCGATGCACAACTCATCAGTCATGCTCGTCGTGTTCGCGAAAGTCGCTGTGTCTAGCGTACGCCCTCCTGAGTTGCCATCGCTTCCGGAAGGCGCGTCAGACTGGGCCCTACCAGATGTGAGCGCATACTCACGTGTAACATCCTAAGAAGGTCCAGTTGGCCGGCAAAGCAGCAGGCGCGCGGGTGTGCAGGCGACGGAGATGCGACCAGCGGTCAATGTGGGACGAAGCGTGAACGAGCTAGATTCCGATTAGGACTTGTCTGAGATGGCGGATTGTGGCACCTACAGTGGGGGCGAGCGCACACAGCGCCGCCAAAGGAACGGCGGTAGGAACCATGAGTCAAGAGAGGGGACGCTCTGCTGGAGCCTGGCCAACCTCTAGGCTGCGGACGACCTTTTATACCTGAGCCACGAGTGATCTTCATTTGGATGATCAGGTACCGGACTAATCGAGCACATGGTGAGACGTCCGTAAAAATTGACCAATCACTCTCAGGATGCAGACTCGCCCTCGATTGGTTTCTCGAAGATGTGTGGCCTTCCAGGACAGGTTAGGCGGTCCGAGGCTGGGCTCGGCAAGATAGGTCTGACGGTAGCCACCAAAATGCTGTCGCGTTGTGAGAGATGGCATCTCTAAACGATGTCAAGGCCACTTACAGCTCAACTCATATCAGCATCATTAGAGTCACCGCGCAGTGCCTCAACTGTTCAACAGAAAACAAGCCGAGACATGTTGCGGGACCCCCAATACGGAATGCAACGTTGCGTGCTCGTCGGGGGACCATTTTTTTCTCCCGAAACTTTGCCCAGGATCGTACGTTAATTCCTGAGGCCTGAGTGCTTGTCCCGAGACTCAGCGTTTGCGAGTTTTCCCACGTGGTACACCGCCCAATTGACGGGTTGGATGCATGGATGCGACAACGCCACATCATCCTTGTTTGACTACTGCCCCTGTAGACCCGCACAAGGCACGAAAGCGCAGTCAGCATGATGATCTCAGACAGTGACTCATAAAAGGAGATACTTGTTCACTTATCGCAGGGCGTTCGCGCTTCCTCGAAGACTCACATAGGACGCGCTTCTTGACGCGTCTGCGCTATTCAGCGGTCCGTTCGAGAAGATGCAATTCCGCTCCCCAGCTCTTCGAATTGCAAAGAACGCGCACGGTGCTCCGCGACGCGATGCAATTACCGCGTGCTGATGTTTCAGGACGTCAGATTTGAGCGTGTCTCTGAATGGAGTGTCAAGGAAGAAATAGAGTTCTGCAGATCGGACTTGCCACGGGAAAGCGGTGTTGTAACCGGTGAACGCTATCGCAGCGTCAGCTATCCAGAGGTTCCGACTGCCGGTCACGACAGAAGCTGAGCGTCTTCGTCGCTTACGCGTGCCTGTGGTCGAGAGGTTGAGGGATTTAGATGAGTTACTTGCGCAGCTCGTCCAAGAGTAGTCTAGTCGTATTCGTATTTGTATGCCGCACTTCACGATGCGCTCTCCAGGGCCTGAGGCGAGGCAAATTAACTTGAGTCCGGTACCTCAGCCACATGTGACACGTAAGTCCGGATACTGTCGCCGGGACTTGCTCAAGAGCTCTTCGATTCCCAGAGACGAAAATACAGCACAACGCTTACCGTTTGCGATGCACCATGACCATCGGTGTACCGAACGGCTAGGCAAAGAGCAACTGCTCCCAGAGCATGTCGTGATCCGGTTTTTCCAGCGAGAGACAAGGGGTTGTGACCAACCTCTGTGCCGAACGAACTCTGCTTGCTGCTTCGACAAAGAGGCCCCTTGGCTCGGGATGTGTGAATCGTCCTCGGCGAGCGCTCCAAATGTCGAGATATGACAAAAGAATTAGATTCAACATCAGAAACAAGGCACACGCTGTCTGAACGCAAACGATTAGCGTGTGGAATATATTACCTGAAGCGACGTCGAACTCACAGCGGACGAGAATGCTGTTCTTCCGCGTTCGCCACCCCTGCCTTCTCTAGGGGACTTGAGCTCCACTCGACCTATTAGGCAGGTGTAGAGGTTTAGAAGCGAGCCTTATTGTTCTGAAGTTAGACTCGCAACAAAGCGAGGATGTCCTCAGAGGAGATGGGCAGTAACCTTGAGCATTAGCTTTCGGAAATACTCGAAAAAGTTCGACCAACCTGGGGCGGAGCATCGAGACTTCGAATTCGTCATGGTCCTTGGGCCAGAATCGCGAGGAGATTACAGGATCCATCCGGAACACATACCAAGGGTCTGTAATTCAACGGCAGAGTCGTACGGCGGAGCGGTGTTGTATCACGAGCCGAACCTACCGACACGAAATTTCCGGAGCCGAACGTTACACGCACCGCGGGGAGGCGAAATTTTCTTTCCACTGCTGTCAGTGAGCACACAGGATTCGCGCTTCTGCAGAGGTAGGGTAATGCTTTAGTGCAGCGGGACGCCTCACGAGATGGCTGATCACACACTAGCAAGGCCAGCGCGAGATCTGCGCCACTTTACAAATTAACGGATTGAAAACTGACTGCTGCCGGAGGAATCGGAATGTGAATGCACGGATATGCACGACGGGGTGTGAGGGCCGCGAAGGATGGTCGCGAGCCATACGGGGAAGCTGTCAATGAGACGGTGGCGTTGAAGAAAGGTCTGCGCCACTACCAGCTGGAAGTATCGAAGGACGGCCTGCTATTGAGATAACTCAACGGCAGAAGAGACGGCTTGAGCACTTGTTGAGTCATACCGATGGCCGGAATTTCAGGAGTCGCATGTACTCGAAAGTTACCGTCTTGCCAAAGCTTCGAATTTCTAGGGTAGCTGAAACACGATATCTGTCATAACTTAGTCGAGCAGAACGTATGCAGCGACAATGATAGAACGATAGACAGGTGACAGAGAAGCCCCGAAGGATGTTCGAGAGACGGTAATGTCGGTAGAGTGTGTCAACCGACCGGCAGAGTGATGTCTTCAATGCTTGTGTGTCGCATCTTCCACCACGCGATGCATAAATAGATGGGTATATGCGTACAGTTCACACAGCAACAGGGCCCTGAGCAAGTTAGTGCACGGAGGAGGTAGGCGTACTTGTGTAGTTGTCTACAGGTGCATGCTGGAATCATAGAGAGCTCTGAGCTGTCAGATATGCCAAGTAAAGTCGTGGTTGGCACTGTCAGAGTCCCAGAGTGGTATCGTGTGAAAATCCTTGTAGCGTATTGCGGGGCGTGACGAGCAGTTCTGCGACATGCACTGTATGTACACAGGTCACAGACTGACAGATCCCGGAATCGCTGGAACACTTGTCAGCGGGCGTCCGCAGCATACCACAGGATCCGAGGCTTCGAAGAGTCGAAGACTTACCAAGCAGACAAACGCCTGCTTCAGATGTGTACCAAAACTACGGATGAAGGTGTGAACCAGCTGCACTTGCGAGATGTAGACTCGAACACCCACCACAACCTTTCGCCGACCACCCAGAGACCCGTCCCAGTCGTATCAGTCGCAAGCTGAGCCCTCTGGCAGCGTGGCCCCTTCCGCATCCTTTCTCCTGGCGCGATCACTGAGACGTTGTGTCGTCATTGAGCCGTTCGAGTCCGGTATCTCCCTGGTTTCCAGACGAGCGGGCCCTACGTTCCTGGACACACAGTCGTCCACAAGTGCGGTACAGAGTTGGAGTGGGGCTTGTGTACGATGGCAATGAGCAAACATCAGCGGGCGGAGGCGAGCAGCGACGGAGCCTCCTCCATCATATTTGAATTACCCTCGGACCTGACGTCGCTCTCGAGGCCCGTCCCGCTTGGAGACGAGTAGCCAACTCGAGATTTGACGGCAGGGCTCGTCTGCGAGGCAGCGGAACAGACGACGAGATCCACACAGAGCGGGACGTGGTGGGTGCGTGTACAACGGTTAGTCCGCTTCGTTCAAATATTGCGCGAGGGACATGAGCGGAGGACGCAAGCGCTCGAGAGACGCCGCACTCCCGACGCACCCGCCGCCTCGACAAGTACTACGGGACAACTAGTAATACATTCCCTGCAGATAGGCAGGGCGGATAGTATCAAAGAGATTCTGACAGCGGGTACAGAAAAACACCGGAAACAGGAGGGAGTAATCAGAGAAATAACGGGGGACTAGCATATACCGACAACATTCTGAGGATGGTGCATGGGAAACACGTCGACGAGAAGAGAGACTCGGGGAACTAGACACAAGGAATAGCTATACTCGGAACGAAGCGTCGGGTACGTAAGAGGGCGTGAAGGACGTATAGGTTACGGGGTGGGTATCATCGAAAGGCATCTCGGGACCGCAGATAAGACAAGAAGGGAGAGGACGCACGACAGCCAGATAAAGACACAACAGGAAAAGAGCGAATAATAGGGGCGTACCCGGAGGGAGAGTGTGCGTGCCGTAGCGAAGCAAGAAACCAGGGACCGAAACCAAACGCAATTGCCTCTGGCGGTCGTCTAGGCCGCGCTGTCGACTTCTTCCCTTTCCTCCTTGTGTCCCAGGCTGTCGTGCCCATCGGCTGAGTGCGAGTGGTGTACAGACGAGTGCCCGTATCCCGAGTACTGTGGCCAGGTCTGCGAGTACGAGCCGTAGCCGTGTTGCGGGGGATAGTATGGATATGAGCTCGACACTGCCGTCTGCGACGTTTCGTGCCCGTAGCCTGAGTAAGCGATCGGGGACGTGGGCTGCGGCGGCGGAGTCGGCGTGTGTTGAATGGGAGAGACGGGCGGGGCAGGGTACGTGGACGAAGCGGGGGGCGGGGGGTAGGAGCTGTAGTAGTTGGGGTAGTAGCTATACCCACTATAGCCGGTTGTCTGCGAAAGACTCCCGTGCTCGGGATACGAGGGAGGACTCTGGTGAATGGGGGTAGGATAGGTGGGAGACGAAGACTCTTCACCCGCGGAGTCCTGGCTGCGCGAAGCGTTCTTGCTCTTCCTCGAGCGCTTGGGAGCGCCCGAAGAACTGTACGGGTCGTAACGCTTTGCGCGCTTGGAAGACGAGGGTTCGTCCTCTGGCGATGGAAGTAGCAAGGGCGTAGACAGTAATGGAGACGTATCCGGCTCGTCTGCTTCCCCACGGTAACGAGGGATGCCGTCGACACCCATTTCGACCTTCGGTGGGTTCCTGAAATGTGTCTTGTCGAGATATTCGGGGGATATATCGAGAGACGCCAGTTCGGGAAGGGTCGAGGGTGAGCGCAGGCGTCCCTGCTCGACATCTTCAACCTTGTAGTAGGAAATAAGGTGTTGCGCGACGCCGCCAATCGTCAGGGAGAATGTCTGTGACTGAGTCAGTAAACCGGGTCGAACGATTGAGCGCGGCGGGCATGACAGCCCGAAAACAGCAGAATGGTCTAACAACAATTCTGAGACCACGGACGGGCTGGGCAAGAACCTCGCACTCGAGCTCTCAAAGTAGCTTGTAGATGTGTGCGGGCATCGCCAGGATCGAGGAATGAAAGCACAACAAGACGCACCTTCTTCATCAATCCACTAGGCTTGAACTTGTAGCTGTTCGTCAAGCTTCCAACAAGACTGCGTTCGCGTTGCCGATCGATTCCCAGACGAGCAGACTCGCCCTTGGGCCTGCTGAGGCTCTGACCGTTCTCAGTCTTGATGGTCTCTTGCACGTATTCTTCGTTTGCCTCCCTCTCTGCGCGCGCGCTTCGATGCCCTGCCCCCCTCTTCTCTGTCTCGCGATACAAAAGAAAGTTGCCCAGGATGCGGCTTGGGCTCCAGAAGAAGCCGTCCGTCCAGCGTTTGATACCGCTTTCGTCCTCGTCGAACACGAACACGGAGCCCGAGGTGATCATCTTGCGCTCAGAGTCGACGAGACGACGCGTCACGCGGGGGATGAGGCCCCGTCTTGCAGCCTCGAGGATGAGCAGGGCATCGCCTGTGGTCTCTATCCAGCCCGACCAGGGAGGTTCTGTCCAGGTTGAGGGGGCATTCTGGCTGGAAGACGCTTGGTCTTGCGACATGCCGAGAAGCTGTTCTTGTTCATCGTTGGCGACGACGACGAGGGCGGTAAAGGACGAGAGTCGGTCAGCACATGGTGGTCGGGCAGAGAATCAGCGACGAAAAATTCTAAAATAAAGTTCGAGCAAGAGCACTGACCAGTGAAGCTTCAGAGTTTCGGTCTCTGAGGAGGTGCGGAGCGGCGGGGACCTAATTTTGTTTGTTTCTCCCCTAAAATAATGAGGCGTGGGAACTATTCACGTGGCTCTTTTTCCTCTCGCCGCTTTCGTCGCCTTCGTTGTCGTCCGCGGCTGCGTGCTCGTCGTCTTCGCTGACTTTCGCCGGGCGTCGAGGTGAGAGGAAGCTTGTGAAAGGCCCCACTGCCCACATACAAACATGCTATCTTTCACAAGTCCCCGTCCACCTCATAACTCCAAGCGCCTTTCCCCGATTCAGCTTCCTCGTATCAGCACCTATCGGCACACAGCCCTCCGCGCCTCTCCTGTGCATCCTAGGAACGTTCAAGGGGCACGGGTTGGCCACAATCCCTCGCTCGAACATGCCTCGTTTCCTCCAGCAGGTCCCCAGCAAGTCACGACCCTCATTTCGTATGTTTTCTGCCTCGACGTGTCGTCTTTCTGCTCCCAATGTCGCTCTCTGCAACCCAGGAGACCTCGCACGCCCTCGGTCTAGGCCCTAACAAGCCCCGCTTTGAACCCCGTTGTGGCTTGATGCTGGCGGCGACAGAACACTCCATAATCACGCACGCCCGCCCGATTGGTCGCAGCGGCCTTGTTCCCTCACACTCCTGACCAGTTCGGATCTGACTGCCTATCTCACTCGATAAAGTTCCATGCAGCCCTCATTTCGTGCATTGATTCCACCAGGGTCCCCCCGCACCCCGTCCCTGAGCGCTCCTCCGCCACGAGCAGCTGACACTCCATGCCTCTGGTCACAGACCACTTTTGACAGATGGTCGTCTTCTTGCAAATATACCCATGTTTCACCAGCGATGTGCTCCCGAACTCCCGAGCCCACTCTTTCGACAGTCCGTTCGCACTTGCGCCGTTTCATTGCGGTGGCTGGGAGCAGCCTATTCTCCCGCGAAAGGCTGGCCTGGCCTTTTGCTTCGACGGCGGCTGCGCTTCTCTCAGGTGGACACATGATCGTCGGCAGCACGGACTTGGTTAGCTCGTCATTGGGAACGTGCGCAAGCCTGTTCTTGACCGTCGGTCGAGTCGCTGCTCCCTTCTGTGATCGTTGCCGTCCGCAACTCAATTGAAGTCGACGGTGAGCGGTCTGAGCGCGTCCCAGAATAGTGTGCAATGATAACCTCCAACGCCCGCAGGCTACGCTCCCGACGCGCGAATATCTGCACTAACTGTGACGACAGCGTGGGTGAAAAAGTCCCATTAAGGGTTAGAGTACTCGACAGCGGAAGGAAACAAGGTATGTGCATCTCTCGTTGCACCCAGGGTGTGGAGCTGGGTTTACTCTTCGTGTCGACAAAGCCCGAGTTGCGTGTTGTATCTATGCACCGTGCCTTGGGGCGGCGGGACGTGCATTGTTGAAGACAAAGCTGACAACACCACCTCTTGTAGATGGTAATCTCATCGACTGCGTACACACAGTAAACACGCGCTATTATAATGCCAATTGCTCGTTACGGTGGTCGTTCATTCGACTAGGCAGCTCCTGACGCCTTTGTTGTGAAGTGTCCCAACAACTGCGCGTCTGGTTACGCGGTCTGGCGTTTCCTTTAGCCAGGTTTGGAGATTGAAATACCCCACCGCACTACTTCCTCTGCGCTCTTGCAAACTTGCACTCCGAATCGTCTCGGTTTTCGAGGTGGGCCCGTAGGACGCCGCATCACAAGGCGAGACTGATGACTTATATATCTAGTCTAGCACGGCTTTACGTAATTGTCTAATCCAATCATTACGTTACGGTACACAGGCACTGCAGAGCTCAGGCTAGCGTCCTATCATATATTGCAGTGATGTCGCGTCCTACGTTGTCCAGACAATAAACAAGGTCTTGGTCCCGCCTTACGACTTCCGCGCTGCTGTGACCACCCCCAAGCCGCTGAAATGTCGCGATAATGATCGGTTCCAGGCACCCTGGCATGCTTCGCGACGTCCGTCTGCGCTAGAAGATCAGAAGTACCTCACGAGGTGTCTCTCTCTGCAATTGGTTCGTTGCACGCTGGCCGTGGTCAGCGTGGGAGCACGTCTGGCGTTAGTCAGGCGCCCGACCACTCCACGGGATGTACGTCGAGGCGGAGCCGCACAGTTGTCCTTTCCGCTGGCCATTGAACACCTGTAATCTCATCTCACATAGAAGCGTACGATTTGTGCTCGCCTAGCACCCGGATTTCAGCGACCTTGCCGGGAGAGGTGACTGCAGACGCGCGTATACACGCTGATTTTGTGCTTCTGGTGTGTGCGCCACAACCTTGAGCTTGTCCGAGCATGAGCCCGTTTGGTCTGACTCTGGTTGCCCCCTAGCACAGATCCTTGCGCACTGGCGCGGATGACCATCGAGCAAGTCGCCAAACTCAGGCGTTCTCCGGCCAGGGCTTCCCGTGGTGCGCCTCGTGCCAAAGATGCAGATCCGAGCACCCGCGCCGAGCAGTGCGTTTCCTGCAATCGATGTTCGTGCTAGGCGCGTCATTTACCGATAGTTGCTATCGTAATCCCTTCGCTGCAGCGTCCAAAATGCTCAAGGAGATCCCTGCAACGGCGCATGTTCCCTGCGAGCTTAGCTGACTGCACGAATGCTGCATGCATCGGGTCTGCGGCTTCGCACAGCCGGTCTGGCAACATGGGCCCTTCGATGCCGCCGGCACGGATGAACGCGGCTAGCGTAACCGAGCGTCATAAGAGCAGGCGGTACGATGTAGCTCTCGGAGCTTTGTTGCGCTCACTGATTTCCTCATATTCCTCGCGACGTGCAATTGAAGCCTCCACGCGGTACTCTGATACAAGGAGCTCCTTCCGGTCTACGAAGAGAGCCAGCGTTTCAGGGTTTGCGAGGTACATAAGGCAGCGGCGTGTTTAGCACCAGGCAGCTCGTTGTCTGCTCATCGCTCCGAGGCAGAGCGCGAGCGACTCGCCATGGCGCCCTACTCTGCACTAGCGTTTGGTGCGATCGTCCTTCTCTCCGCGGTTAGTCTTACTTTAGATTTGCAACCTAAAGCTCATCGTTGGTCCGCTGCACATAGCACAGCCACGCATCGCTGCTCCCACACTCCATCCGTGACGAGGACTACTTATCCAAGCGTGCGAGTGTAGGCCCAGTCACCTCCGGACTTCCCTCAGGGTGGAAGTACGGCGCCTGCTATGTGTAAGTCCCCGTCGCTGATACTCACGCATCACGTGACTGACCAGAAACACAGCGACAATGCAAACGGTCGTGTCTTCGCGGAAGAGGATCCAGACAACAGCGCCCTCACGGTCGAGTCCTGCATCAGCTCGTGCACGAGCCAGGGCTTCAGCGTTGCGGGCATGGAATATTCAGGTATGTCAGGCGTCAGCCAAGCGACGTCAGACCCGTCACTCGGCACGGTGCTGATATCCATAATTCGCCAGTGCAATGCTTCTGCGGGAATGAACTCATCAATGGCGCCGTGACTGCCCCTGACAGCGACTGCAACATGGCCTGCGGAGGCAGCGCTACGTATGTGCATTTGCAATTTTTTTGCGCGCCGTATGGCATCCTGACAGATAACATTCACAGCGAGGCGTGCGGTGGCCCTAATAGGCTCTCGGTGAGCAGAATCTGGAGCGCTAGTCGGCGAAGTAGCGCTCATGGACTTGCGATCTAGGTCTACAGCACAGGGACAATCACAACCCTTCCCGTTCCGACTACGCAGACCACTGGGCTGCCCGGAAATTGGCAGTACGTTGGCTGTATAGAGTGAGTACGAGGTCTCCGGGCGCGTCGAGTGGAGATTGATCGGTCGTACCACAGGGAGGGCGCAAACGGCAACCGTGTTTTCCCCTACCAAATTATCAACACCAACAACAACTCTGCCGAGGCATGTCTGAACCAGTGCGGCGCGTTCGGATACCCCGCTGCCGGCATGGAGTATGGCGATGAATGCTGTGAGTGCCTCAGGTTCGATGCACTAGCTGGTGGCTCACGAGCTCTCTTCCAGGGTGTGGTGATATCAGCGACGTAACGAGCAACAGCGCTGGCAACGCTCCCGCCACCGACTGTAACCAGGCTTGTTCTGGCGATCCGATTCACATCTGCGGAGCTGGTAATCGACTCTCGGTACGTATTCTAGCTTTGGTCGTATGTCTGTCTGCTTAATGTTTTCCTAGTACTACACGTTCCAAGGGGGCATCGCCAATTGGAATACGCCTTCGAACACCGGTCGATACGAGGTATGTCAGTTTAACTCATGATGGTGCTGTACGCTAATACCCACTTTGCAGTTCTTAGTGAGTGACATTTACTCTACCCAAGTGTGCGATCCTAAGGCCATGTAGATCGGCGGCGTCGTAGTCCCTCTTCTCGTCACTCTCGGAATCAACAACAAGGTCGCCTTCCTGGAAAAGTTTGGAACGAGCGAGTTTGACAACTCCACCGGCGCTTACGAGCTGGATCTTAGCCTCGTCGACAACTTCGATCTGGCGTGGCGGACGATGCACGTCAAATCTGATGTATTCTGCTCTGCAGCCGTCGTTCTGCCCGACAAAGCCGCGCGTCAGCTGAACATCGGTGGCTGGAGTCTCCAGAGCACCCAAGGAGTTCGTCTCTATACTCCTGATGGCAGTCCGGGTGTGAACGGCACGAACGATTGGGAGGAGAACTATGAGGAGCTCCATTTGCAGGTGGGCATGTTTATATTTCTAGCCTTCCATGCCTCACACTTTTTCACAGCGCCAGCGCTGGTATCCATCCGCTCTCGTCCTCGTAAACGGTTCTGTTCTCGTCATGGGTGGCGAGGTAGGCAGCAACGGCGCGCCAGAGCCTAGTCTCGAGATTCTGCCGACCCCCGAAGGTGGTCCTACCTGGATATTCCTCGATTACCTTAACCGTACAGACCCGAACAATTTGTACCCTTACCTCATCAACCTCCCGAGCGGCAAAATCTTCGTCGGTGAGCATCTTAGCTGATCAGAAGACAAGACGGAAATTGAGTTGTACCCTTGTCGCAGGTTACTACAACGAGGCTCGGATACTCGATCCGGTCACCTTTGACACCGTTCAGGTGCTTCCCAACATGCCCGGCTCCGTCACGAGCTTCTTGGCAGGGCGTACGTACCCGATGGAAGGTAGCACCGTCATGTTCCCGCAGCACGCTCCTTACACGGATCCGATGACCGTCCTGATTTGCGGCGGTTCGAACTTTGGGGTTGCGCTGGATAATTGCGTCAGTATTCAGCCTGAAGTGGAAAACCCGCAGTGGACGCTTGAACGGATGGTGGGTGCATTAGCTGCTTCACGGTTTAACCTAGCTTAATTGCGTCCTCTCGTTCTTCAGCCGTCAAAGCGTGTGATGCCGTGCATAGTATGTAACTTCATTCTCTTCAAGTTTGTTATAAATCTAACATCTTTGCCATATAGGCTGGTGTGTGGAGTTGACTAACCAAATGTTACGCAATTTGCTGAGATTTATCTTTACTGTAGCTCTTCCCGATGGTACTTTCCTCATCGTCAACGGCGCTATGCAAGGCGTCGCTGGTTTCGGGCTTGCCACCGACCCCAACTTCCAAGCCCTGCTCTACGACCCCACTCAACCGGTCAATTCCCGAATCTCCATCCTCAACACCACGATTGTTGCCCGGCTGTATCACTCAGAGGCTACGGTATGCGCGAGCGAATCCGAGGTTTCTGTCGAAATGCTGACGAATTTTCTAGCTGCTCTACGACGGCCGCGTCTTGATTTCTGGCAGTGATCCCCAAACGCCAGGCTTCCCAGAGGAGATGCGTATCGAGGTGTACTATCCGCCGTATCTGACAGACGGCCGTACACAACCAAGCTTTACCATCGAAGAGACTGACTGGAATTACGGCGGGCAATACTCGATTACCGTGACGCTGCACGAAGGAACCACGAGCACGATGCGTGTCTCTCTCGTCGCTGGTGCGTATCATTCGCAGCCGTTCCTAACTCATCGTCGAGCTGACCTCGTCTTCAGCTACTTCTAGCACGCATGGAAACGCCATGGGCAGCCGGACGATCTTCCCCGCGTTCTCTTGCAACGGAAACACGTGCACGATCACCGCACCCCCTAACGCAAACATCTCCCCGCCTGGATGGCACCAACTCTTCGTTCTCGACGGGCCGACGCCGTCTTTCTCGCACTGGGTCCGCATCGGAGGCGACCCCGGACTCCTTGGCGAATGGCCGAACTTCCCTGATTTCACCCTCCCCGGAGAGTAAAAACGTTCGCTCTTACGAATGGACTAGACTGTGGCTTGGCTGAAACCCGGACGGTTTTCGTGGATGTTGCGGATACGGTTTGAATCACGACTTGGACACGACTTGGACACGGTTTGGACACGATTTGCGCGACTCGTAGTACCTTCCTCTCCGAGACGATTTTCCCAGCGAACATGCCAAGGACCAGTACTTTCACGCTCTCGGGACTTTGTTTCGTACCTTCTGTAGTATGGCTAGTATGAGGTTTTGCGAATGTATCTGATTGAGGTATTCCGGACTTGCGCGCGATTGTGGGCCCGCTAGCAGGCCCTAACCCTAGTGGGCGCCACGATTATGGCGCTTGTTTATCTCATGCCTTGAAGTCTTTACTTAGAACAATCATCTTCTGCTCTGCGCCTGACATTCGCCCAGCTCATGCCGCTTTCAAAAGCAAATAATATGCTCATACTGGCATATTTTCTTGCTTCTGCACATCCACCCTTCCGATTACATGTCGACAGGGCTTGCAAACTCAAATCGGCGCCACCAACTTGAAAATTCGTTTAGCCCTGTCGAGAGGCCGAAGCCTCCCGTAAAAGCATAACAGTAGCCTCCCAAAGCACTGTCATGTAGGGATTTTTCAATCACTAGTCTTTCTTGGTTAGCAGCGGCCATTTTACTCTGTTTCACGACCGGTTAATACAGTTAGACAGAATGCGCGATGATTCAAACACACAGTAGAAATATATTTGGGTCTTCTGAATACAGTCAGTGGCGACCTCAATTTCTCTGCTCTTTTTTCAGACTGTGCGACTGCCAGGCAGTAGCCAGTGTACGATCACCCTCAACCTGCTCACATTCCATCGCCTATGGCACTAGGATAAACAGGCAGTGGAGGTCTGTAAACTGCCCCTCAAAGCCTCTGCTTTAGCTAAGGTGATATTTAATCGTCATGGCCCGTACCTGAGGCAATTGTATTTGCCAGTAACCACATCAGTTCGCAGGCGTTCGGCCGATAATCACTGAGATTACGGGCTTCACCTTGCTTCAAACCCATACTGCTTATCAGCGTTATGCCTCTACTATATGCCAAACTCTTGAGCAACTAATATTTGTTCTTCAAATGGGGCACTAATCTGGTCATTAGGGCACTGAGTTGCGTGACTTCCGCTCCTACCATTAGCTCTCTCGTCCTCGTATTAAACGGAAGTGTAGCAGATCTAACTAAGCTTGGACGTCCAACGAAATCGGGGAGGCTGTGGTGCCAGTACGCCCGCGATTTTGTGCTTTCAGTCTCCGCAACCATCCCATATTCCGCATATTCCTCAATTCCGTACCGTCAAGAGCACACTAATTGCGACAAAGCCGTATATCTAGTATAGCTGTCGAGGTAAGAGTAACCTCATCACCATGAAGGTCTTCCTTGAGTTGCTCGTTTCCACTTGCACACCAGCATGAACGACGGGCATATGTCGCGTGGAGAGGTTCAGAGACCGTGCAGTGGGCGTGGCGATATTCCCCCTTCTGTGGAAGCGCATGCACAGCCAGCAGTGCGGGGGATGTAGCCTAACATGAAGATAGGAAACAATTGGCACCATCATGATTCCGTTGTGGTGAAAGAACAAGTCTCGAAGAATGACAAGCAGTTGAACAGCTCAGCCCAATTCAATCTTTCTTCACGTATACGTAGTGGTAGTAGTGCGACAGTGATCAGGTAGCTCATATCCGGCCTGTCGCTCCCTAAAACCATAGGTCATGTCAAAATATTTTATCAATACTATATGTTTTGATAGAGGACCTTAGTATGGCTCAGTAATACATCAAACACATATCCTTTCAGCATGTGGCAAACAGTCACAAGAGGTGATTGCGTTCATCGGGCCAGGATCACAAAGTTTCACTGGAGAAAACGTCGAGATTCGAGAATGTTCGGATTTGGGTCACTTCTGACGCGACAAGTTGAAAACCAACCTTCGCAGATTGGGTTGGCACACATGCAGGTTGTTCTACAGCACTTTTCCTATACCTATGGCGCTGATGCTGATATCCTTGCTTATAGATAAATCTAGTGGTAAACCCAGTCTTTGGTACCCGGGCACATCTGCGCGTATCGGCTCTTCTGATGCTATCGCCGCCAGCCAGGGCACAGCCTCGCATCCCCTGTATCGGAATGAGAGACCGTGCTAGCTTTTACAGGCGTTTCCACGCCGGCTTATAGTGCGCCGCAGTGGCGCGCAAGGTCTACCGTCCTCAGGCACGCACTTTAAGCTGTAAACGCTTCGGACCCAAGAGGAAGGTGCGATAACTGATACTCGGTGAGATTTTGAAACAAGTCGCGTCACATCGGCGGAAGCTGCATAGCCGAGACCGATCTGCAAGACGAGCACGTAGCACGATATGACATTGTTAGGATTTATCTTAATGCGCGGCATATTTGCTCACAGAGACGTCCTCAAGGGCACATCTTAAATGATGACGGGGTGAGAAAATCTGCAGAAGATGCTTTATGTTGATAAGTGTATCCTTGCTCTCCAGGCTGAGCGCATCCCACATGCGTAAGAAGACCCCAGTGAGCTAAGAGGTATCCATCATCCATGAATTTGCTCAGCTATTCTCCCTCAGATGAAGGCGCAAGTGTTGAGTATTTTGAGTTCTCGGACGCCGCCTGCCGTCTGTTTGGCAAGACGATGGCAGTGTAAGCCAAATTTGGAGGTAGTCTTGAGCTGCGCATTGTGAAGGAGAAAAATCTCATTTGTAGACCAGGGGCTCCCCCAGCAAGCGCCGGCAGCGACACTACTTCACTATGCGCACAAGTGCGCAGTGCACACGAACACCTGTAGCGACAAATCAGGCAAATGACAGACCCCAGTCACCGGTCTCGATCCAGGACTCGTGGCACCACCGATCACTCAGCGCTGCTGCGGACCCCTTGATGCGTTTGACTGCAGTAGAGCGTCGACAACAAGAGACCTCCCTGCTACACTACAGGCATGAGCTGGTTTCAGATCACCTGAAATGTCCCGGTCAAGCCATCAAAAATGTTTCATTTTCAGAGACTTAACCGGGGCTTTCTGGTGTCCTAAAATGATAGATTTGCTACCACTTTCATGGCCATTTGCGGTGCAAGAAAATGATAAATTTTGTGTAGCCTGAAATGAACCTGAAATGACTCAATATGGCTACATTTCGGTACGGCAAAGAGTTCATGTTTCAGAAGACTCTGTGGCGCATTTCAGGACATCTGAAAGAACATATGTGGAGATCATTTCTGCCTCATGTTTGCAATGAGGAAAGGTACGGGCAAGGATAACTTTTGATGGTCCTGAAATTGCCATTTCTGATGGATTTTGAAGCTATTTTATGAGCTAGAAGATTTTTACTTGAGATAAGCCAAAAATGTCCTAGAAACGTACTACAAATTTGCCGTAAATGGTAATTTCAGGACCATCAAAAGTTTTCCTTGCCCGCACCTTTCCTCATTGCAAACATGAGGCGGAAATGATTTCTACATATGTTCTTTCAGATGTCCTGAAATGCACCACAAAGTCTTCTGAAACATGAACTCTTTGCCGTACCGAAATGTAGCCATATTGAGTCATTTCAGGTTCATTTCAGGCTACACAAAAATTATCATTTTCCTGCACCGCAAATGGCTACGAAAGTGGTGGCAAATCTATCATTTTAGGACACCAGAAAGCCCCGGTTAAGTCTCTTGAAAATGAAACATTTTTGATGGCTTGACCGGGACATTTCAGGTGATCTGAAATCAGCTCATGCCCGTAGTGCTAGAAACCCGCAACAGGAAAATGTTTAGGCGTTTTACTGCAAGGCTGCTTGTGCACATTGGGCTCAGGCCGACATACCCGCAGCGCCTTGGTGATGTTGATAGACACCACCAAGACAGGTACTAACAACACCTAAGACAAGTACTTCAAGGCATGTAATTTCATCCAAGTAATCCAAGACGTTTCTAACATCCAATTTTTTTTTGATGTCATAGATGTGCGAAAGGGTATGAAAGGTGTACGAGAAGACTGGTCATCTCCAGGTTCCTCGCAGCCTTCACAGACTCCGAGTCCTACAGTAGCCTTTGTAGCAATGGCTCCCAAAAAACTCATCTCCCTCCTCTTCTTCGCTCTCTCCATCTCCGCAGTGCCAGCCACGTTGCTGCCTGCTCGAGGGTCACCGCGAGACGACTCCCTACGTGCCGTCGAGAAGCGTGCCACCTGCTCTAACGGCGCCTCCGTCAGTGACCAGTCGTGTTGCGTCTGGGTCGACGTCCTAGAAGACATCCAGGAAAACCTCTTCAGCGGCGGACAATGTGACGCTGAGGCCCACGAGTCCCTCCGTCTGTAAGCTCAGCAATGCCCGTTACTCGATGGCTGTTCGCTGACATGGCTACAGTACCTTTCACGACGCAATCGGGTATTCTTCCGCGCTAGCAGCCGAGGGCAAGTGGCCGTATGTATCTACTGCCCTCAGCATTGTCTCAGCGTCTTACAATGTATGCCAGTGGTGGAGGCGCCGACGGCTCCATCCTCGCGTTCAGCGACACAGAAACTGCCTTCTCGGCGAACGCCGGTCTCGACGATATCGTCGAACTCCAGAAGACTTTCGTCGAGAAGCACAACGTTTCTCCCGGCGACTTCATCGCCTTCGCTGGTGCGGTCGCAACGAGCAACTGCCCGGGTGCTCCGCAGATGCCCTTCCTCGCTGGCCGCGCTCCCCGTATGCTTGACGAATTTTTTCAGCAAATAGGCTCTGACTCGTATTTTACAGCTACCCAGGCTTCTCCTCCTGACCTTGTCCCCGAGCCTTTCGGTGTGTTGAGTGGACAGCATGAGCATCCGTACATAAACTTACTCTCTTCGTAGATTCTGTCAGCAAGATCCTTAACCGCGTCGACGATGCCGGCGGGTTCGATGAGGTAGATCTCGTATGGCTGCTTGCTTCGTGAGTAGTGTATGCGTTCGACACCGCATTGACGCTGACCATCCGACTTCAGCCATTCCATTGCTTCCTCCAACGAAATCGAGCCAACCAACGAGTCCTTCGCGTTCGACACCACTCCTCACACTTTCGACTCCCAATTCTTCGTTGAGACTCTGCTTGTCGGCACTGGCTTCCCTGGGTGCGTAATCTTTGAACCAGTGCCTGTGCGCGCAGACCGCTCACGGTTTGTTCAGCTCCTCTCGCGCTCGGGGCGAGGTCAAGTCGCCGTTCCCAAATCAGATACGTCTTCAGTCCGACTTCGCCATCGCGCGTGACCCGCGCACGTCCTGCGAGTGGCAAAACTTCGTCAGTGCGTACCGCCCCGTGCATTTCTCATCGCAGCAGAAACACGCTCACCGCGTACCTCGCAGATAACCAGACAAAGATGATGAAAAACTTCCAGTCCGTCTTCCAAAACCTTACGCTGATCGGCCAGAACGTGGACCAGCTCACCAACTGCTCGGACGTCATTCCAATCTCTACGCCGCTCCCTACCAATCGTCCGGTCTCGTACTTCCCATATGGGAAGACCATAAACGATATCCAGCAGAGTGTACGTAGTATCCCCCGATGCTGTGCATGAGGCGTGCCGCCCGCTGACTGCCCTTCCTGCAGTGCGCGACCGCGCCCTTCCCGAACCTTACGACGTTCTCTGGTCCCGAGACTTCGGGTACGAACGTACGTGCCTGCCAACGACCGCGAAGGCACCTTGGCTGACAAATTGCTCCTATAGACCACTACCGTCTAGTGCATAGATATTCGCCGGCACTCGGTCTTTGTCTCGGCAAAGGAACGACATTAAGTTATTTTGTGGTGTTGATGCTGTCTTTCTGGCCGGGTGAACAAGTGTGCATTGTGTTATGGTCTTAATTTGGTCTTAATAGACTCCAGGGCGCGCTATAACCAGTCTCTAACATCTCACAGTCTCGGTTGAAAAGTTTAAGGATATAAGTGCACAAATAGGTAGGCACAGTCGCGAAGGATACCACTGCAGAACCAATCAGCCTAGCAGCGCGCGACAAATATAATGACGGGAGACATCACAATGTTGGCAGAACAGTAAGGTGAACGGCTGATAGAAAGGCATGAGCATGCTATGTGCCTGTGTCACCACATGCAGTTTGACGTTTCATTTGGAAAAATGGTGAGGAAAGAGAGCAGAAGGGCTCGGAGACGTGATAGCGAGACATAGGATCACTGAGGTTGCTATATCAATAGTGACGTCCAAAGCTTCGCTCTAGACTTGCTCTGACGATGAATCAGACGTTTCGGAAGCGACTACCTGAAACGGCGCGGGAGTCTGAAGCGATGTCTCAAGTAAAATTGTGCCAAGATGCGTCGAACCGCGGCGTTCCGTCGAAACGGCTCTGAGCCCCTTCGCACGCCGCGCTCTGCTCGCTTGTACAATCATCATGCCTTGCTGCCGCGATTCCAATTCCACATCTATTCCGCCGTCGTTTTGTATACTTTTTGTTGTCTAATTTTCTATGTTCATGCTGTAGCGAGCATTGCACTGGTCTATATAAGCACTTCCCGATCACCCTAGGGTAGTAGCGCGCATACCGCGGGATTTTTTCTGTAGGTTTTACCTGCGCTTGGCACCATATTGGAAGGCTAGTGCTGTGTGCATAATAAGATACATGAAAGTCATCGTAGATGAGGCAAATTTCTCCAGAATGCTGTGAGGAAATATCACTCTTCGGGGTCGGGGATGTTCAAAGTACATGAGTACGCGCGCCTTCATTCGTGCTTCGCTTCACCTCGTCCGAAGTGAGTTTGGAAGCGGCTGTGAAACGATCCTTAAGCTCGGGCTTAGGTTGATATAAGCTCTGACAAGCCGTCTCCCGCCTTCAGTTCTGAATAGCTGCTGGCCGTGGCATCCGCTGTCCGAACAAATAGCCCCCTCCCTTCATTTATTGGCATACGAATGGCGTTGTGGCTATCACATAGATACATCAATCCGGATGAGTGGATGAGTTCTCGGTGGCCTGTGGCATCCGCTTTGCGGGTTAGTGGCAGCGTTTTGCCAATGAGTGGACTAGATACAGATCCGAACCCTGTCGAGAAGATGAGGATGATGAAACTGCATGCTACGAAGACAATGTAAGAGCCTCAAACAAGCTAAGTGACTGGGTCTCGGACTCTACGTGATATGGCCCACTTACACTGTGATTAATTGAAGTACCGGTGGCTACCGCAGACTCCCCCCTCCTCCTAAAAAAGGGTTCACAGATCCTCTCTGTGGCTTGTGACCAAGACGATATAATGTATCGGACGAAGGCCTCTGGTCAAAAAAGTGCGGTAACAGGAGAATCGTAGCCGGTGAGTGCCATTCTGCCGGTCACTTCGTGGCGGCCACGTGCATGCGCGTGACTAGTTCGAAAGGCCTGGGCCTAATCCAGAAAACCTCAACACTACAGGACCTTACAGGACCTACTGTACCTAGATATACATCAAATTCAAAACATGGTTTGCATTCAGGATGTGACATGACGCGGTCAACGCGTACTCCGTGTACAGCACTTACGTGGCATTCCGCCGTGACGACCGCGCAGTGAACTTCAGTAGCATCAAAAATTCACTCATTGCGGTTGATGTGTCGCATATTAGCTTTATGTATTTTGTATTGGCCCTCATTTCTTGTTCATTGTGGCTTTGAAAAACAACACGACGTCATTCGACATAGGGTTAGGGGTTCCTTGATTGTCACATCATCGCAGTGACGTAGACAAACCTAATAGCGACGTCGTGACGTCACACGTTCCTCCACTCGTTTCTCCTGGCACTCTCCACAATGAATGGGATCACGTCCTCCGGTTGCCTTATAATCCACGGCCCTTTCTTCAGCATTGAACACGGCACATATCTCGACACTTCTCCGCTTACTCTTTCTCTGAACTCGACCTAGAACTACTTTGCTACTTCCAACTATGTCCGAAAACATCCACGGCGACTCAGCCGTCAAGTCGAAGCAGGATCTGCCACCCGCTCGCGACCGCAAAGGCATACGTCCTGTTTCACCGCCGCTCTCGAATACATCAATGAAGCGCTTCAATCACTACATGGCGTTGTTCGTCACGCTCATACTTGCGTTCTACGCGTGGAGGTTGATGGTGTGGAAGGCAGAAGTCGGGTCGTGGTGGAACCTGATGCTGGGCAAGCAGCCTCCGGCGATGCGCAGCGGAGGCGTAGGGAGTGGAAGCAGCGTCACCATGGCGGACGTGACACCAACTAGTAGTCGGACGGACATGACAGTCGACGACAGGATCAACGAGCTCGCGTCGGCATTGGGCGTGCCCTCGAAGGACCTCGCGTCCGCCATCGCCGTAGCTGTGCACGATTACGTGCCTCCAGCCACGATTTCCTCGATAGCCGCACACCAGACTGGGTGAGTTTCATGCTTGGTGATATGCATTATCTTGTTACTCAGACGTTCTTCCCAGTGAGGCTGTGCAATACCTGGTCGACCCCGAAGGCGCGTCCGAGTCTGACGCTTCAGCAACTGCAATTATGCCTGCAGCGACGAGGGGTGCCAAAGTTATCCACAAAGCGTTTGAAGCTGTTGTTGGAATGGACGAGCCGCCGAGCGAAATGGCATAGGAGCTGGCTGCCGTTATAGTACCGGGTTCCTTACGCTTGCAATAGCTTACACCTCACATTTGTTATCATTCTTCCACCATTCCGACGTAACCTCTGTCGTAAATGGACTTCAAAGCCCGCAGTCCCGGCAGACTGGGAGCTTAGCCCTATATAGGGGCGCTTGCGCGCCGTTAATGAGAGAAAGGGTCACGTGTGCTGTATCGGTCCCGCCCAGCCGGCTGCAGGACGACTCGACCCAGCTCCTTTCCTCGACCACGACGACGACCACGACGACGATGGCATCGACAGTGTCAGAAATGAGTAGTTTGGTGCCAAAAGACATCACAGGCAAGTATATGAGACATTCAGGCTGCATATAATGCATAATATGTTTGGTCCCGTGGTATCTGGCAGGCATCGCCCTAAGCGTCGACAAGCATGACGACGAGCCCCCACGGGTCCTCACATTCTACAAGCACAACACAGAGGTCATCCTCATTGGGCGCAGATCCAGTGTGTCGACTAAGCCGCAAGCTGAGGAAACCGACCGCGCACTCTTCAGATGTCCGGTGATAAGCCGCAGGCATGCGAAGATCATCTTCACGCAGTACGGAAACGTACGTTTTCCATGCTCTCAACACGAGTCCTGGCATAAAAGTTATTTGCAGGTGTATCTTTCTGACTTGTCATCCCATCACGGTACCCATATCCTCAGACCAGGCGAGAAAGCATCTACCATGATCAAGCCCGACTCCCCGAGCGTGCTCGCCGACGGCGACACCATCACCTTCGGGAAAGCCGTCGGAAGAGACGAGAGCATCGTCAGCCCCATCATCGCCAAGGTGCGCTTGCTCTTTGGAACGCTCCCGCCGTCGCCCGAACCCGCATCAAGCATTACGCCAGCGACGCCGGCTGCGCCGACTGCCGCCGTTCACACGTCCTCTGGGCGTTACGGCATCTATACGCCCGCTATGACCTCGTCCAGCTCTGACTCCTCTGAGAGCGAGGACATTGAAGAAATCCCCCCGCCATCCCAAGCTCCACGTCTGTGCGGCCCACTCCCCTTCGGCTTCGGCCCCAGGACCTCGCATGCGTACCAGATGCACCATGTATTCCATACCCGTCATGCGCATCACACCCAGATGATCCCTAATCCACCTGGTCGCCTCGGGCTGCTGCGCAGGATCCTCCCCCGCGTCGGATCCATTGAGGAGATCGCTACCGGCCACGGCTCCAGCAGGCTATCCCCCATCTCTGTCTATTCTGCCTCGCGGTCTCCGTCTGTCGTTGAAGTGCGCCGGGAAGATGTGCAGCCTCCCGCTGCAGAGCCGGAAGACATCAGTCCCTCCCCCTTCCCCGAGCACCGGTCGCGCGCGCAGTCGCCCAGCGAGGATATGGACCTCGAGAGCGACGCTCCCTCGGAATACCCGGGCAAGTCTGGCGGCATGGAGATCATCCTGGAGGCGAGCTTCGATGGGCCCCTACCCGTCCTGGCAGCCTCCTCGCGCCTCTGCACGCCTGAGCCGGACCCCGAACCGGTGCACAGCTTCCAGCAGAGGCAAGTCGAGGACGACGAGAGCGACGGCGACATGTACGCCACGCCTGCCCCGCAGCTTATCCCCGAACCCGTGCAGGAGCCAGAGCCGGTGTCGCTTGCTGTCCCGCCTCTTGCTCCTGAGGTTCCTGAGCTTTTCATGGACGATGCGGCCTGGTGCTTGTCCGATTATCCCAGCCGCTCTGCGTCCCCCGCCCCGGCCGCCGAGCCCTTTGACATGCGCGTCGAGAACCTGAAGAACAGACTCGCGGACCTCGAGCAACGCATGCTTGCGTCGTCAAAGGCGAGCACTGCGGAACCGTCCGCCGGCGATGCGGAGCCCGAGCAGGTCGAACAGCCCGAACAGTCTGAGCAGCCCGCCGCCGAAGTGGCGGCGCCGGCGCCGGCGGAGGCCGTCGCGCCGATGGTCGACAACCTGAAGGAGATGCTCCAATGTAAGTCCTGTCCCGCACCTCTGACGGCTGACGTCGGTGAACACGCCCCCGTGCTAGCCCTCGACGAGCTGCGCAAGAAGGCGGAGGCAGACATGGCCCAGGAGCTCGACGCCGTCCGCGCGCTGCGCGCCGAGGCCGAGGCCGCCGCCCACGCCGCCCTCGCCCTCGCCGTCGCACCCGCCGTCCCGGTGACCGTAGACCTCGGCGGCGACCACGGAACCGACAAGGTAAGTGCACCCCACGCGGCCCGCTGTGCGCGCGACGCTCACGGCGCGCAGACCCCGCCCGCGGCAAGTGGGCTGAAGCGCAAGCGTGACGAGCTCGAGGACGGCAGCGGCGGTGTCTACGGGGCTGTCGCTCCCGTGGCGCAGACGCCGGTGTCTTGCCACGTCCTCTTCGACAGGCTCGCTGCCGAGCCCCCGCGCAAGCGTGCCCGCGGCGTGGACGTCGCGCGTCGCATCGCGCTCGGCGTTGCGAAGACGACAGCCATCGCGGCTGTCGGCGCCGTCGCGACGTGGTCTGCGCTTGCGTTCAGTTAGGCGGGTAGTCGCGTGCAAAAAGCGGCGCGGGTGTGTGAGTGTACGAATAGGAACAGAAGGAGTGTTTTTTCGAGCTTCTTGAAGAGATGAGGATGTGGACTTTTTTCTTTTTCTTTTTTTCTTCGTGCCCTAATGTGTACGTAGTATGCCTCAGTTGATTCGTCTTGTATGTATTGTGGAAGAATGTGAAATGGAATTATCAGTGTTTATACATCATCCTTCGAGCACGTCCAATCACGAGAGTCGCAGATTTCACTCCATGCAGGCAACGATTGTTGAAGGGATCCAAATCCTTGGGTCGAGATTCGAATCATAAATTACACTGCGTGTAACACATCTAGCTGGTCATGTCGCTGACGCACTCCCAGACGCCTTTGAGGTTCTCCTTCCACAACGTGACCTTGCCATCGCCGCAGCTGACAGCGAGAATGTTGCCCGCGAGCGACCACGAGACGCGCCAGACGACGTCGGGGAAGCGGCCGGGCACGGCGCCCGCAGGGGGAGCGGCGGTGCTGGACGCGCTCGGGTCGAGCGCAGTCTTGGTCCAGGACGCCGTGGGCGTGTCCTTCGTCCAGATGAGCACGGTCTTGTCCTGCGAGGCCGTCGCGATGTAGCTGCGCGGGAGGCCGATGTTCGGCGCCCAGGCGACGTCGCGGACCCAGTCCGTGTGTCCCTCGAGCACGTCCTCCTCAACCCACGCCTGCGTGTCCTCGCGGAAGGCCCAGATCTTGACGAGGTTGTCGCAACCCGCGCTCGCGAAGCGCTTCACGCCCTGCGCGGCCTGTCCCTCCGCGGGCTGCGGCGCGATGAGCGAGCCCGGCTGCACGGCGGGGGCCCAGGAGACGGCGTTGCAGCCGATGGCGTGTCCGATGAACATGTCTGCGCCCCACTGGCCGTCGTCTGCAGCGGTGTTAGAAGAACAGGGTGCAAAGGCGAGAGTCACGTACTCTTGAAGGTCAGAACAGAGATCTTGCCGTCGGATGACGCGCAGGCAAGAATTGCGCCGAGTTCGTGTGGTGCCCAGGAGACCGAATTTACTGCAAACTTATGAGCGTCATACGTCGAGCTTTTGTGGGTTCTGCTACGCACCAGAGGCATCATGCAATGTGTGCTCCTTAACCTTCGCCCATCCTCCACCTGCCTGTCCCGACTGCTCCTTCCAGATAATGACTTTACCGTCGTACGAGCACGACGCGAGGATGTGACCGTACTTGGGGTGGGCCCAGGAGACCTGCCATACTGGTCCGGTGTGCCCCTTCAGAGTGTGTCCAGCCGCCCGCTGCGCTTCGCCGTCCACGACATCGAATACCTTCACCGTGCGGTCAGACGAGCACGTCGCGAGCCGCTTGCCGTAGTAATCTAGTTGCGCATCGTGCTACAGGGACAATGAGGACCATGCTGTATGCATTTCAGTACGCGGAATGGCTGACAATCATGTCCTCGTGGGCCGTCTCAATCGGTATTGGGTCTGTTGCTGACTGCAAAGAATACGTAAGATTTTGAGCAGATACTCTCATAAGAGCTATACTTACTGCGCTCCCATTCTGAACCGCCATTTTACTGTTGAATGGACGACGCGGAGAAGGAGAAAAGCAGAAGTTGGCGCGGAGGTAAGAGTCGCGACGTGGTGAGGCGTCACCGGTTCGGTTGTTGCCGTGAGTCGATCCCATCACTCAAACCGAGCGGCAGAAGCGACCATTGGGAACATAACAAACATGTGCATGTGTAGAAAAGAAATATGATAGCCGCTACGAGTATCCGGCACAGTGTTCATTACCCTACGTAGGTAGCACTTTAAACACAAGAGATTTTTTTTTAAAAAAAAGAGTATCCGGCACAAACGAGTACAAGTATCAAGTGTGAGATGTGAGGTGCGGCAATGCATCTGGATCATCATTCCATGCCCTTTGCAATGTCTCCTTTGTCAGTTTTGTTTTGTGCACCATCTTCGACGTCAAGTGCGTTGTACTGATTTATCAGGAACTGACGCAGATGCTCCCAGAGTTCAATCCGCGCACACATTGCCACTCGCTGACGCTGAGCAAGTAAGGCGTCCCAGAGAGCTCTGTCAGCAACCTACAATCCAACTGGACTGGGCTACGACGAAGCTGAGGAGACAGACGAGAGGAAAATAGGTGAGGAAAGACCAGCTCGAGTCTGGCTTGTTATTGAGCAGTACGAGCTCCTTTTATACATGTCAGACTGAATACCTAGAATATCCTACGAATATACGGAGGTGTATAGAAAGTAAAAGAATACTATGGAACCCGGGAGAACCATCCAGGATATGTAATATTCATGACATTACCCCCCCGTCTAGAATCATGTCCTCACGATTATTTACCCGTCGATCCAAAACCTCCTGATCCTCGTTGAGTCTCTGTTAAACTCGACACCTCCTCGATATCGCATGACGCAATGCGTTCCAAAATGACTTGTGCGATTCGGTCGCTGGCGCGTACCTGAAAGGGTTGATTGGTAGAGTTGATCATCACCACGCGTACTTCTCTGGTGTAATCTCGGTCCACGACTCCAGCGCCGACATCTATCCCTTTGACTGCTAACCCACTTCGCGGCGCAATTTGTGCATACGTTCCGTGAGGGGCGCGCATTGCTATGCCGGTGCCGATAATTTTGCGATCTCGTGCCGGTATTTTAACGCTTTCAGCTGAATAGAGGTCAAACCCAGCCGATTCTTCGGACCCTTGCTTCGGGAGAATTCCACCTATCCGTTGTACCAAAAGAGTGGTATCGCGTGTGAGTATATGGACAGGTCGTGTTAATAGAGGGGGGATTTGAATTAGCATGGGTGCAGGTTTGTCCGGACGTCTAGCGTGGAATTCCTGAAGGAGTTCTTGACAATTGGTCAAGTTCGCCCGTGATTCCCAAGAACGGCGATTGCCGTGGGGACTGTTCTTCCAGAGCACCTGATACTCTAGGTTTCCGTTCCGATCACGTCGTGAATTAAGAATGTCTTCGACCTCCCACTCTTCCTTGCCATTTATGAGGTCAGGGACTATCGGTTCTTGTCCTTGTGAGGGATACGCAGGTTCTTTGAAGGGACTAAGGAGGCTCTCATTGAAAACGGGGTGTTGTTTCCATTGACGCGAGAGTTCCAACTCGTAGGCAGAAGCGCCGACTTTACGTTTGACCTTGAAGGGTCCGTATCGCTTATCGTCGAGCTTTTTCATTGGCCTGTCGGTTCGGATATTTACTCCTTCTAGCCAAACTTTATCTCCCACTTTGTACTCTGGTCCACCCTTCCTTTTTCTGTCATAGAAGCGCTTCATGGTTTCCTGCGCTAAGCTGATAGCCGCACTAGTATCCTCACGTACTCGATCCATTCTATCGACAAACTGTTGGACGTTTTCACTTAGTCCTTCTCGCACTGGTTGGATTCCTTCATAAGGGTGATACCCTTTATTGACAAAGAAGGGAGTATACCCAGTGGACAAATGAACTTTATTGTTATATGAAAAGGCCGCGAGTGGCAACCATTCGGCCCAATCTGCTTGTCGGTAGTTAATGAATAATCGGAGATATTGTTCTATCTCGCGATTGATGCGTTCCGTCTGTCCGTCTGTCTGGGGATGATACGTGGTCGAGGGGTTGGCTTCGATTCCGAGCGATCGGTACAGTTCGGAAATAAACTGATTCTTAAATTCAGTTCCCCTATCGCTGATGATCTTTCGAGGTAATCCGTGATGTGCAACTATGTTATCTCGGAGTGCCTTTGCCCACCCTTCGGCGTTAAGCTCAATGGTACTTGGTATCGTGATTATCTGCTTAGAGTACATGCAGACGATTACGAGGATGGCATTGTATCCGAAGGAGTCCGGCAATACGCCTATCTTGTCAATGGAGATTACTTCCCAGGGTCGTGAAGGAATTTCGTTGGGGAATAGAAGTCCGGTAGGACGCGTCGTATGAACCTTGGTCTTCTGGCATTTCTTGCATCTGGCCACGTATTTCCTGATATCTTCTCGAATTCGGGGCCACCAATAGTTACGTGTGACCATTTCATGTGTCTTGTATTGACCAGGATGTCCAGCCAATGGGGTATCGTGATGATGAGCAATGATTTGCTCGCGGAGTTTTCTATTTACTGGTACGTAAATACGGTTCTTCTATGTCACGAGTCCAGTACTATCTTCGTTCCAGTCTTTGTCCTTGTTCTGTAAAGCTACGGTAACTAACAAATCTCGGTTCTTTTTGTGTTTTTTAATTTCTGCGACCCAGTCCTGGTCGATTCCTTCTAAACTAAATACAGTACTGCGAATCAAGGCACGGAAATGTTCTGGTTTTAGTAATACGATATCGGAATGGTCCTCTTTTCCTGCATTGTGCCTCTTTTGGCGAGATAGTCCGTTGGCTTTGCCATTAGTTTTACCGGGCTTGTGATGTAACGAGTATTGATATTCAGCCAGCTCGGTTACCCATCGGGCTTGTCGTTGGTTGAGCTTCTGCGGCTTCTGGAAGTATTCTAGATTCTTGTGATCCGTCCATATTTCAAACGGATGTACGGCGCCCATGAGGTACTGACGCCATTCATCAAGGCTAGTCATGATTGCGAGAAGTTCTTTATCGTAAATCTCGTAATTCCTTTCAGCAGCTGTCATGGCTTTTGACAGATAAGCAACAGGCTTCCATTTGCCATCTTGCTTCTGGGCTAATTCCGCTCCTATGGCGAAGTCCGAGGCATCGCATTCTACTCGATATGAGTCGTTGTCATTAGGTATGGCTAGCACTGGTGCTGTACAGAGAGCGTTCTTTAGACTTGTGAAGGCTACTTCTTGTTTGACGGTCCATTCGAAAGTAGCATTGCCCGTTAGTAAACTGAGTGGCTTTGCTATTTTGCCGTAATCTCGGATGAATCTTCGGTAGAAGTTGGTAAGCCCGAGGAATGCCTGAATGTCTCGGTTACTTTTGGGCCGTGGCCAATTGACAACTCCTTCTATCTTGACGGGGTCCATGCGAACAACTCCTTTTCCTACTATCATCCCGAGGTATTCTATCTCCGCTTTCTCGAACTCGCACTTTTCCGGTTTCAGATAAAGTTTGTGTTCCCTTAAGATCTGAAGGACTTGCCATGTGATCCGACAGTGTTCTTTTAAATTTTGAGTAAAGATCATGATGTCGTCTAGATAGACTACCACGTGTCCTTGACTGATGAGATCTCGGAATATGTCGTTCATCATGGTTTGGAACGTAGCCGGTGAATTGGTGAGACCAAAAAACATGACAAGCGGCTCGAATAGTCCTCGATTCGTTAGAAATGCTGCCTTCTCTTCGTCTCCTTCTTTGATGCGGATGTTGTTATATCCCCATCGGACGTCTAATTTCGTAAAGTACCGCGCCTGCTTCAACTTGTCTACTAGTTCCTGTATCAAAGGAAGTGGGTAGCGGTTTTTTATCGTCAGCTCATTCAGCTTTCGATAGTCTTGTATGGGTCGAAGTCGTCCATCTTTTTTCTTGACAAAGAAGAAAGGAGAAGCCCACGGAGATTTCGATGGTCGAATTCTCCCGGTTCGGAGGTTCTCTTCTATGAACTCATCAAGTTCTTTTTGTTCGTTTACAGAAATAGGGTAAACTTTGCAACTGATCGGTTGCGCGCCTGGTGTAAGTTCAATCGCATGGTCCCACGGTCGTCTTTGCAGTAAAGAATCGAAGTCCTCTTTGCCAAATACGTCGGAGTAGTCGTGATAGTGACTCGGGATGGTATTTTCAAAGGTCTTGGCTTCGTGTTTCAGGCTTTCTTTGATCGCTAGATCAGTGGCTGTGGTGCGAATGCGTGCTGCTCCCGTCGCGAAGTACGTTTCATGGTCTAAAATGAAGATTCTATCCCCTTCTTCTAGGCGAGCCTCCGGATCGCTGGGCTCTTCCTGATCGGCATCAATATCAATTAGTCGGGCTGCGTATTTGCAGGTAATCGGGCACTGATCAAACTGAATGATTTGCTTTTGCCAATCGATAGATGGGTTATGAATCTGTAACCACTCATATCCAAGGAAAATTGGAGTCTTTCCTAGATTTGTGACTGCGAAAGGAAGTCGTTCTACATGGTCCTGAATTTCCACCCTTAGTTCCACGAAGTCTGTGATAGCGCCGCCGGTATTATGCGTGCCATCTGCATTATAGACAGGGATCGGTGATGGCAGTTTCTTTGTAGCGATGTTGTTGTCGCGGACAAACTGCGCATCAATAGAAGATCCAGTCCATCCTGTGTCTAATAGCGCTTTGACTGATAATCGCTGCTGCATGTCCAGGGTGGTTATGATCATGGGGACGTCCATTTGTGTCCCCTTCCTTCCTCGAATGAATCGAGGCTGCCTTCTTAGTTCATTTAAGAAGTCTATGGCTTCTTCTTCTTTCATCTGCCTGATTTGGTTCATACAGGCTTCGGAGGCATCAACACTCTTCTTTGAGTGTACCCATTCAGTCAACAATTTAAGCGCCGAGGCTTCTTTGCTGATTATCCATTGGCGGATCCAAGCCGCTGTCCAAGGTGTGTGGCGCTGCCACTGCGTAGATTCGGTCTGATGTTCTGGTGTAGGC